ATTATTAATAAAAATTTTAATATCAATCAATACAATTAATATATTAAACTTACGTCTTGGTTTTATATCATCAGATTTTGGAGATCGTAAATCATCAAAAGAATCTATTTTAATTAGTTTAAAGTTTTGGTTTAAATAGTTTTGTAGTATATGATGAAATAACTAATATAATAGATCATTAATAAATTAGTTAATACAATTAATATATTAAACTTACTTTTTGGATCTATTGGTGGCTCAGTATAAAATGAAGTACCTAATATAATAAATTATTAATAAAAATTTTAATATTAATAAAAATTTTAATATCAATCAATACAATTAATATATTAAGCTTACCTATTGGATCTGTAAATTGATAATTAGAATCATTAAAATATGGACCATCAAAAGTACTAGTATACAATGAAGTAACTAATATAATAATTATTAATATTATTAATAAAAATTTTAATATCAATTAATACAATTAATATATTAAACTTACGTCCTGGTTTTATATCATCAGATTTTGGATGCAGAGGTCGTGACGAAATAACTAATATAATAGATCATTAATAAAAAAAATTTTAATATTAGTCTATTAGTTAATACAATTAAGCTTACTTTTTGGATCTGTAAATGGCTCGGTATACAATGAAGTACCTAATATAATAAATTATTAATAAAAATTTTAATATCAATCAATCCAATTAATATATTAAGCTTACTTTTTAGATCTGTAATTTGAAAATCATCATCTAAATAAAATACGTCATTTAAATGGCTTGAAGTTTTTTGTTTTGATGGCTCGGTATACAATGAAGTACCTAATATAATAAATTATTAATAAAAAAATTTTAATATTTATCAATACAATTAATATTAAACTTACTTATATCATCGGATTCTGGATACGAAGATCGAACACCAAAAGAATCTTCGTTTAAAGCTTTGGTTTTAATAGTATGGTAATATGATAAAGTAACAAATATAATAGAATATTAATAAAAATTAGTCAGTACAATTAATATATTAACGTTAAACTTACTTGATCTTTTTCGATAATTATAAGGATCAATTAAATCATTAGTATTTACTGGAACTGGTGGAACTGGTGGAACTTCTGGGGATTGTAGCCCTGTTTAATTAGTTTAAAGTTATATAGTTTTTAGTTTTAATGAAGTAACTAACATAATAAATTATTAAAAAAATTCAATACAATTATTACAATTTGGATATTCTCTTTGTGAATACGGAGATGGTATTTTTAATTGGCCTGAAACTGACCAATCTGCTATATTTACATCTTTGATATCAGTTCTTGAGATTGGAGAGCATTCTGATTATTTGTAAATTAAATTTATAACTATTTTTTTTCTGAAATATTAACACATTAATATAAACTACATTACCTGACATTTTTGATTGAACAACGGACTTGGTTTTAAAAACCCTTTTATGCGTTATCGTTAATGCATGCATGATGCAATTGTATTAAACAAGTATTGTTGTACATCATCACGTGCCGGACGGACATCCGGACATTCGTGTCACCTTGCGTTAATTCTTCGTTACACTTCGGAGTTCGGACTAAACAAATCATTTCATGTAATGTTGCACTTAATATATTTTAGCTTTAATCTGAAATGATCAACATTGCACCATGCACTAGCGCCTTGTATAAAAAGAGTATATACACAATGAAAAGTATTTCAACGTATAAATCGGGCTAGTTCAATATTTTGCAACAACTTTTGTAACTTAATTAAGTTATAGACAGATTTTTCTTTTTTCTTAAAAAAAAAAAAAAAAACAAAATGATTGGATGGAAAAAACGAATTTATTTTTTAATGTTGATGCCAATATAACTAATTTTGTAAAATTAGGATTATCTGCTGGGAATTNAAAAAAAAAAAAAAAAAGAAAATAATGCCTTTTAAATTTGATAGAGAATTTTTTAATTTTCTAAGTAGTAATAATAATGTAACGATAATAGTTCAAATAGGTGACCCACCATCACAAGAACCAGTATCAATTAAATTGAATCTTAATTATAAACTATCAGATATTCGTAACGTGCTAGAAAATTACAATATTATGGATAATTCATTATTATTTTCGCAGAAAATTCCGAAGAAAAATGATTACATATTTTCCAAAATATTATATGAACAAGAAAGTAATTTTTATTTGAGTGAAATAATAGAAACTGTAGATGAAAAATATAATTTTTTATATTTAATGAATTTACTTGATTGGCATACTTTGAATAAATCACGTCAATTGGATTATGGTTGTACTATGGCTTTTGATGGAATTAAGATAGCTGAAAAAAGAGCATTTATAATAAATGATTGTGAATTAATTGAAATTGGTGCTGAAGGATATAAAAAAGGACAACTTAAATTTGAAAAACAAAATGATTGGATGGAAAAAACGAATTTATTTTTTAATGTTGATGCCAATATAACTAATTTTGTAAAATTAGGATTATCTGCTGGGAATTTGCAAAATAAAAATTTTAATGATGAAATTAAATCAGCTTATAAATATACAGAACTTGGAAAAGTATCATTAAAATTAAATATAGAAAATTTAAAATTATCTGATGAATTTAAAGTTGATATTGAGAATGCCATAAAATCCAAAGATCCTGAAGAATTTAGGAAAATTACTGAAAAATATGGTCAATTCATTGCAACTAAGGTCATTTTAGGGGGAAGAGTTTATTTTAAAGATATTGAAATGTTGACAGAAAATTCTACGGATAGATCTAAAGAAGGTTCTGTAGGTATAGGAGCTGGACCTATAGATCTTAGAATAGGGAATAATTCCAATGATTCAAAAAGAGAGTCAAATTTTTATAACTTTATTCAAATGAGATTACTTGGTGGAAAACATCCTGTTGATAAAGAGTTTAATGAAAAAATGTGGATTGAATCTTTAGAACATTATCAAAATTGGCATCGTATAGAATTACAGGAACCAGTTAGCATTTTTCAACTGTTACCTAATGATTTACGTAAAAGAACCTTTGAATCTCTTGGAAAAAAGATTCTTTATTCAGAAGCTATAGATTATGAATATATCTCAAATGATAGTGGTAAACCGGGAATTGTAGAATTATCAAGTATAGGCGTACCAAAAGATATTTCAGATATTCTTTTAAATAAAGAAGCGGAATGCAATATCTTTGCAACAGTCGTTGATACAGAAGAATCCAAGAATGATTTTTTTACATGTCAAATCCTTCTTCCACAAAATGGAAAGCCAAGCCTCATAGTTCATTGTATTCAAAGGGATATCAAAAAACGCAAATACAAATTAAATATCGGGATAATGATTGTTGGTTATGATACAAATTTTGATTTCACTCGCTCAGATTTTAATGTTCAATTGAAAGTTCTAAATCATAAGGTTAATGCGTCAAGCAATCAAATATTTAATATGGATTTATTAGATTTTGGACCATCTTATATTGGGATTCCTGTGTTAAGTAAATCAGATTCTAAAAATAATTCTCTTGTCATTGGTCATCACTTTTATGAACAAGATGAAAATAAAATTGGGGCATGTACATTCTCTTATTGCTTAAAAAACCGACATTATGTCAATTTACCAGAATTTACTATTTATACACTTATCGTTCCGCATGATAAAAATCATAAGTATGGGACATTACCTCTTAAACGTAATATATGGAATAGATCCACTAAATCTTTCCAACCTCTCCAACCAAAGTATATTAGTTTGTATTCTAAAGAGGGACGTGGTCCAATTTTTCCAAAGCAAAAAAACGATCAAATTAAAATTAAATACCTTAAGTGTTGTAATAAAGATTGTTCAATTTGCAAGAATAAGAAATTATCAGTAAAGAATATAGAATGTAAATTTTTTTATCCGTGTATCAGGTAAATTATTTCTTATTTTTTGGTCAATAATTTTTTATTTTTCTTTAACGTTAGTACTAAAAAATATATATATTCAAGTAGTCTCGATAAACTGGATTCGCCCGTTCCATTAGAATAACACAAATCGAAAATAAATTTATTATTGTCGAAGGTTCAAGTTTATTGAAAATTGAGGTTGTAATCCAAACTCCGATATATCGAAGGATTGGAAATTGAGGTTGCCTGTGTATATGTTTGAACGTTTTCCGTGTTAAGAATAATAGGTGTATTAGCAAAATTTATTGTTTATTACTATATTTATATTACACAAAATTTTATTTGTAAATAAATAAATAAATAAAATAATTTATTATGAATTTAAAATATAAACGGGATTTCCACCGTGATGAAAAAGAAATGTGGCGCAGGAGTCACATGATATTCATTAAATTTTTCCTTCGTTTTGTAAAAAGAATAATTTTATTCTTGAAAGTTGAGAGATTTCTAAGAAAATTCTAATGTCTAAGACTGATAATACGCGTAAATTATTTTGTTGGTTTTATTAACTAAGAAATATTTAACACGCGATTCTTAACTATTTACCGTTTATATAGTTGATGTTTAACTTGACATTTTACTCTCGATCTAATTTTTGATTTTTGCGTAAATAACAAATTTATTCGTGCTTGATAAAATGAATAACGTGATAATGCCATTATATTATATGTATGAATTCATATCACGTTAAATGATATTTCGTCATTGCAACGATTTAACGATTTTGAAAGTGATTGATTCAATTGATCCAATGATTGTAAAAATCAAAAAATCAATAATCAGTAAACTTAAACTTTGATGTTGTACCTCTTCAGCCTTTTTTTTTTAATTATAATATTTATTAATAAAACTCTCACCTCCTTCAATTATTTTATTTTTTTATTTTATTTTTTCTTTTTAAGAAAAATAAAATAAAAAAAAAAAAAATAAATAAAATAAGAATAAAGAAATTTCTTAAAAAATCATTTTTAAAAAATCATTTTAAATAAACAGGTGATTATCTTTTCGTTATTATTTAATATATTTTGATCACTTTAAAGCATCATCAAACGATCAGTTTTATTTTTCTTATCAGTCCTTCGGAAAAAAAATAAATAATTAACTTTTTTTTTTTTAAAAGCGATCATTATTTTTTATTTTTATCATTATCATTATCATTATCATTGTTCGTTTTCTTGTGTCTTATCAGTTTTTCAATGATAAAAAAAATTAATCTCTGAATTATTAATAATTATCAATATTTTATTTATTACTAATATTTACTTTTTTTCGCATTTTTTTTTTTTATTATTTTCCATATTTTTATTTTTTAAAAAAAAAAATAATATTGTAATATTAAAAGCGGATTTATCGCTTTATTAAAATATAAAAATCATGTCGACAACTGCCGAATCAAAGTTTCCAGAGCCATCTTCTCCTAGAACCTTTTCTTCAACTCAAGAGAATGATGAGACTGAATCCAACAATTCTAGTATTTCCAGCACTTCCAGCACTTCTAGCACTTTTAGCACTTTTAACGAAGATGATAAAAAGTCCGTACCTACTTCCGACAATCATTTATCTCTTCATAATATTTGTAATATCATTCAAAAACCTTCTCCTGTTAGGTTGCAAAAATTGGAAAATGATTATACTTCACAATGTGAAACCGGTGCGATACCAGATAACGAAAATTTTATGTATCATAAGATTAATGGTTCCGTCACTCTTAATGATAATAATGTTCATTATAACGAACCTAATTCAATCTATCAATCAAATCCAAAACCAATTCATGGACAAAATTTTCATCCATCAACAATGTTATCCATAGTTTCGCCATCAGAAATTTCTCGTGATAGGGATTCAACTATATGTACAAATCCATTTTGTTTACAATGTCGATACACTACTACCCCTCCTCATCATACCAATTTACCTTATCCTGTTACATCAGGACCTTTACCTTTTCCTGTTCAATATTATTTTTCTTTACCAAATAATGCCATTTATTCAACTTGCGTTCCTCCTTCGTCTGTTTACATTAATCAGCAACAGCAAGTAGCTCCTGTTTCACCTACCAATCTCACTTCAGGTGATTCTGAGTGTAATGAATGTACAACTCAAACTAAAAGGAGACGTCGTAGAAAATCAAAAACTACTTTAAATTCTTCTACTGATTATCATCCTACGACCAGATCGGGTGAAAATTATCGTTGTTCGAATTGTGGTACAAGAGAAACCCCTGCTTGGAGAAGAGATCCTCGAGGCGAATCTTTACTTTGTAACGCTTGTGGATTATAGTAAATATCATTTTTATTTTTTATTTTTTTTTATTTGTTACATTTTTTAATTAATTTCATTCCTTCCTTTCTTAAGTCTCAAGGTTAAAGGACGTAATCGTCCTATCGAAATTGATACAAATGGTGAAATTCGATTAGTAAAACTTGGTAGGACTGGTTCTAATCAACCAAAATGTCAAAATTGTGGTGCAAGAGAAACTCCTTGTTGGAGAGAACCTGAAGGAAAATTATTATGTAATCGTTGTGGTCTTTTCTTTAAACAAAATGGTTATAATCGTATTGTAACTCCTCAATCTCCTTATTAACATTATTATGTACATGTATTTTATTAATTATATAATTGATTATGTTATTGTATCTGTTGTTAGTATACAGTATCTTCTAGTTTGTTAAATTTGAACGTTAAAATTGGTTTTATTGTAGTAAAAAGTTAAAGGAAAAAATTATTTTTATATTTTTATTTGCTGCTTTGCAAAAATAACATTCTTTATAATAAATATACTGTATATAGTAATAATTCATTATATGATTTAGTTAATGATTTTCTTTTAAAAAAAATTAAAATGTAACGAAGTCATGAAGGGAACAAGGAAAGCACATTGTATATAATAAAACTAATCAATAATGAAAATTCTAATGATTCTTTATGATCCGTAGATACCAAGGTTTAATAATGATATTAGATGCGAGAAACTGAATTAAATAATTTAAGATTTTCACGATAGAAATTTTGACGTCAAAGATTTTTAATTGATCTTAAGCTATTTTGTGTAATTTTGATTTAAATCTATTTAAAGAATAAGAAATCAATAAAAACTAATTAAAGCGTTTCTATTCTAAAATTGAATTCAAAGGATAATTATATTTATCTAAACGAGCTCATCAGGATATATAAGTAACAATATTATTTGCTTATATAAATTTTTTTTTTTAAATTTTTTTTTTTTTTTTTTTTTTTTTTTTTTTTTTTTTTTTTTTTTTTTTTTTTTTTTCATTTTTTTTTTTTTTTTCGATAATTACTAATATTTTATTTTTTAAAAAATTTTTTCTTTTCGTCCTTTAGGATCGGAAACTCGTGGATCAAGATGGCCGTAAAATTAATGGTATTTTTTTTGCTGTTACATTTTTCATTTGCTTATTCTCGCAGAATTATTATAAAGTTATATGTTACAATTGCTTACTTTAGAAACAAAAATTTTAATTTATTGTAATATGCAAAAGTTAATAGAGGATGAAAAAATTACTATGATGGATATTTTAGTTAGGATGATATTATTGAAAAATAAAACGTTGTTGTAAATTGACAATTTGTGAAACCACATGTTGAGTTTGCTTATTTACAGTCTTAATAGAAACTTTGCGTAGAGCTATTATAAAATTTTTGACCTTTCTTATTACCTATATATGTATTGCTCGGGGTCCTAGACTCCTGGCTCATCAATTGCTTAACGAATATCTCAATTTCGATATTTAGCAAGCAATTATCACAATTATAATTAATTTAAAATATTTTGTTTATAATAAAGAGGGTTCGAAAAAAAAATTATTTGAATGTTTTTTGTATGATATTTCGTAGTACAAGTTTAACTTTTGGCGTAATCCAGTAAAATGATCGTCGGAATAAATTTAACAACTCTCCGGACCGAATCATAATTTGTGTAATGTAACATTAAAAATATATTATAAATAATTTTTTTTTTCTTTGTAGCATGTCTTATCATTCTAAAAAAACGCCGAAATGGATAATCAACCTAACGAATGGGTTACTTGGATTGAAGAAGCTATTTATAAAGAACATATTAATTATTATGAATACAAAGATTTTCACGATATTCAAGAAATTGGAAGTGGAGGATTCTCAAAAGTATACCGTGCATATTGGAAAAATACCGATCGTTGTTTTGCATTGAAAGATTTTTTTGAACTTGGCTTCAATGTAAAACAATTAGTTAGTGAGGTAATTTACTAAATAATATGCATTTCAATACTTATATTTATATTATTACTTATATTCTATTTAATATTCAGATTAAATTTCTACGAGCAGTAGATTTCCACGAAAATATTATTAAATTTTATGGAATCACAAAAACTGGAGATGATAAAAATGGTAGGCGAAATACGATAAAATATCTAAATTTAATTCTACAAAACTGATAAGTTTATTCCTTTTATTTGTTAGAAAATCGTTATGCGATAGTAATGGAGTACGCTGGTGGGGGAACACTTCTAAACTATTTGAAAAACAATTATGATAAACTTAACTGGAATGACAAATATAATTTGGCATACCAGTTAGCTAGTGCTGTATCTTGTTTACATGATAAAGGCATTATTCATGGAGATCTGGTAATTTGTAATTTTAATATTAAAATATTGCTTTATATATTATATATTAATTAAACCTTTCATAATAGCAACCCTCTAATATATCGATGCATCTAAATAAAATCAAATTGATTGATTTTGGATTATCAAAAAGGGTTAAAGATTCAGATTCTACTAATATGCTTTTTGGGGTAATTCCCTACGTAGATCCAAAGTTATTTGATTCTCGTATAAAATATCGTAAATATTCATTAAATGAAAAGAGTGACGTTTACAGCGTTGGTATATTGTTATGGGTAATATCAAGTGCTCGACTTCCTTTTTATCCTGAAATTTATGATGTTGCTTTGGCTATGAGAATTTTACAAGGACTTAGAGAGAAAGTTGTTCCAAATACCCCTGATGATTATGTTAAGATATATACAAGTAATTATAATTTTTAGTTCGATAATTTGATTTACGATATTTAAAATATTTTAATTTAAATCGATCCTTAATTTCGTTTTTTAGTTTGTTGGGATGATGAACCAGACAATAGGCCAACCATAGATCAGGTTGTTTTACAATTAAGACAGTTAATGATTTCATCAACTGATCTTCAAATTCAAAAAGATAGATATCAACGATTTAGTGTGGAAATATATTTTTCTGAATGTTTAGATGCAAGAATAGCTGATATAAGTGATTTAATTGAAAAACCTAAAAATGATTTAAGCATTGTGATTGATGAATTAGTTGATAGTATTTTTAAGAAGCCAAATAAAGGAAAAGAAGAAAGTGCAATAAAGCAACATATTCTTGATTTTACTAATAAGAACAAAATACAAGAAATCTATAATTGGCTTTTAAATAATCAGGATAGATCAAATTATATTTTTTTACTCGGATGCTTTTATCATCACGGAATCGAAACTAGGATCAATAAACAAAAGGCATTCGAATTATATCAGAAGACGGCAGTTTTGGGAAATTCAAATGGAATAAATATGTTAGGATATTGTTATGAAAATGGAATTGGAACTAGCATCAATAAACAAATGGCAACTGAATTATACCAAAAAGCAGAAAATTTAAAAAATGTTAAACATGATTCGAAAGATGACTCAAAAATAGCTAGTACTATCGTATCAGGGTTAGTAGATTTATTTATTAAGATAACAAATGAAGGAAAGGCTCGTGGTCAACGACGTTCAATTATTGATGATTACTTGTCATTACACGATATCACAATTGAAGGAATTTATAAATGGTTATATGACAATAACAAAGCAGATCCAAGTTACGGATATTTTTTAGGATATTTATACTTTTCAGGAATTGGTACATCGCTAAATATAGATAAAGCATTTGTTTATTTTTATAAAGCATCACTGGATCATCAAGCTATATCTTACTATTATTTAGGAATTTGTTATGAATTTGGATTTGGAACTAAAATTAATAAAAAATTGGCGTTTGGTTGCTATGAAAGAAGTGTTAAAAAAGATAGTGTGGCAGGAAAATTTGCTTTAGGAATTTGTTATGAAAAGGGTATCGGTACTGTAAAGAGTGAATCAACAGCTATGTATTGGTATCAGAAAGCGGCAGATAGTGGTCATGCAATCGCACAATATTATGTTGGAAATTTCTACCAATTTGGTGTTTCTGTCAATATTGATTATAATAAAGCTTTCCACTATTATAGTTTAAGCGCTAATAATGAATGTTCTTACAGTATAAATATGTTGGGTTATTGTTATTTAAAAGGTATTGGAACCTCTATTGATAAAACGAAAGCATTTAAATTGTATTTGAAAGCTGCTAATATGAATAATAAAATTGCTCAGTGTAATGTTGCTATTTGTTATGAAGATGGCGTTGGTACAAAAAAGGATCCTGAAAAAGCTATGGAATGGTATAAAAAGTTAGACAATGATTATAATGAATTTGAGGGGAAGGAAGTTGGTAAGTTATTCGTTTAACTTTTTTTAGTTTTTAAGAATATTTTCCAAAAATATACTAACTATATGTAAAATAGAAACTAAGAAACAAATAATACAACAGTGGAAGTTGAACCATGGATTATTCTTGGATGGGTATAGGATACAACCAAGTAAACAAGCTGTTTTAGCTTATGATGGCGATTTGGATATAAGTTTATATAAAGGAGACCCTGTTGTTTATATTAATATAAATGATCCTGATTCTCCTAAAAATTTGCTCTGTTTAAATAATGATAATAATTATCTTAATGATGCTTTAAAACAACTGGATATGTGTATTAATTTTCCGGTTGCTGAAATCACTTATGAGGCTAACTTATTGGATTCTGTTTCACAATTTGCGGGTGATAAAGAAAAATTTCATGAGTTGTATGGTCATATTCTTGCAAATAAGTTTTTAGCTGGCGGGCAGTTATTTGTTAAGAATTTTACTTTAACTCCTTCAAAACAAATTAATATTTTCAAGTTTTATTTGATCTGGGCGTACAATTCAGCTAAAAATAACGAAGAAATTCCATTTAGTAATGATCCTTTTGACGGTCATTTTTTACCACGATTAGAAACATCAAATGGGGAAGAGATAAAATCCCCTAAAGAACTATTTAACTGGATGAATAATTTATATCAGGATAATATGTTGGATATTATTTCTTATAATAATCTCCGCACATTATCAGATGATGATTTTGAAACTTTAATAGAGAAACAACCGGGAATTGCTAATTATGAAGAGAAATTAAAATTAGAAGAATGGATTATGCGTGAATACGAAACTACTAAAGTCGAAATCGCTAATAATGCAGAGGCTGCAGTAATAGATGAAGGTCTTATAAGCACGAAAAAAGCATATTTTAATTATGTTAATTTAATAACATGGATCAACGATTTTCATTTACTTAAAGGTCTGACGATTAATGAATCGCACATTATAGGATATAGTAAGAAAGCTGCCATTAATTTTATTGAAGCTCCTAAAGTAAATTTGAGTAATAAGTCTTATTTCGAGATGACGAATCCGACAACTCAATTAGAGGAGAATTTATTAATAAATAATATATTTTCAACTAAAAATATTAGATCGTTTCCATTCATTAAATCTGATAATGATCTTAGTGATAAGGATAGTATTCATTTAATAGTCAAACATGAAAGATATGAAATTCTTATAAACAGGAATTATATAAAACCTTCTGAAGAATTTAATAATGCTATAGAAAAAGCACTTAATAATATGAAACCATCTAATGCTTTACAAAATGTATTCGACGAATATGGGCATTTGTTTCCATTTAAAAATTACTTTAGGAAAATCTCTTAAAAATATCGCAACTACCTCTTTTTTTGGTAATTTCGAAAAGATCAATTTAAAATTACCGATACCTGGATCTTTATTATCGTATATGAAGGTTTTAGATATTTCATATTTCTTAACACAAAAAGGAGATATTATGGAAGAAAATGATTTAAATAATTGGATTAATAATACAAATGACAAGTTAGAAGTTATTGAATTGGACGAAATAATTTCATTGTACGATATTCTTGAATCGGAACAAAAGAGGAAAATTGACATTATTCTCAATAATAATAATAATAATCGAAAAGTTGTAATGACCGGAATTAATAAGTTGAAAGATTTAGATAATAATAATATTAAACATTATAAGAGAATAGATATAGGGACATCATTGGAGGATGAAAATTATGAAGTATTTGGATCAATTATTTCGAAGGTTAATTCAAAATTAGATGATTTTATTGTTAATTTTGAATTATACGATCTTAATGGATTTACTGCAATTATAAACAAATTAACGGAAACAAATGTTAATATAACGGAATGTTATATATGGTGGATGATAATAGGAAATCCTACAAAATTGTCGGTTTTTAGTCCAAGTAATCGAGAATTTCAAATGGAATGTATTAAAAAAACTATTACTTTGCAATCTGGCAAACAAATTTATAACGTTAAAACTCCTGTCCCATTATCTCGAGGATACACAATTCTTATTAATGCACATTGTCCTTCGACAAATTATGAGCTTAAAAATCCCGTTAAATTAGTTGATTGGGTGTATAATTCTATTAATTTACAAATAATTGATAATGAATCAAGTATAAATCAGCCTATAAATTCTGAGGCAAATGTTAATATAGATTTAAATATTTGTATATTGTACACGGATTACAAAAATTTAAAGATTGATTACGAAGAAGAAAAATGCTCTTTAGGTTCAATTGGACATAATTTAACTAAAGAAAATTTGAACGAAAATGAAATTGACAAATTTGATGATATTCAAAATATCATTCAAGAAACTATTTTAGATGATGATATTCAAGTTATTTTTTCAAAAGGTAATTAATTTTTCTGCTAATATTAATTTAATCTTATTTGTTTTAAACGAACCGAAACTAATATTTTAAAAATTTCATACTCAATAATAGTTAGCAATAATGAACCTAACAAGTATTTACAACAATATAATAAACAACTTAATATAAGTAAACAGCTTAATTTGAGCAAACGTCTTAATATAAGTAAATTAATTGATATAAGTAAAATAATTCAAGAAAAAGATGAGTGAATAATTTATTAAATGGCGTAAAGTCAATTTATTTATCATACATGTACTTTTATTCAAATTTTTAATTTCTGAATTAACAGAGTAACGTCCTATAAAATAGTCATTTCGATTCCAAATGTTTTATCTAGTATATCAAATTATCTGTAAAATGGTATTTATTGTAACTATTTATAAGGAAGATTTTAGTTTTCAAATGATTCGTCTATTTAATATAGCATTTTATAATATAAGTCATTTAAATATAATAAACATATAATCTTATATAATTCTAAAAAAAAAATTAATTTTTATAGTAATATAATTGTAAGGATTACCGCCTATATGGTGGCCTTCGTTGCGTCATGGCGTTACTTCCTCTATATGTTGAAGATTCCTACTTCTTCGTTGGAATATTTATTCTACAATATGCACATTCTCTTTGTAATTCATGCTTCTGTTTCGTCTTTATTTTCTGGTGGTGTTTTTTTAAAACATGTCATAATCAGTAGAAATAATTAATGAATGAAATAAATTGAATAATTGAATAGAAACAATTACCTTCTTTTGGAGTAAAGAATGCATATTCTAGGTTCGTTTTTGATTTTTTTAATGTGCTATTTTTACAAATACAAGAAGAGGCTTGTCCGCAACTAATTTTTATAGTATATCTTTTAATTTTCTTAGATTTTTGTTTCAAAAAAATTGGACCACAATTATTTTCCCCTGAAGTATGTAAACTAACATATTTTAATTTCATTTGTCTTAAAGAATCGGATTTACTAGACTTCGATTTGATCATTTTGTTCATTTTGGCCTTAAAACTATTGCTACTAAAAGACGGTATTTTTCCCTTAAAATTGTTTTTAGTAAAAGATGACATTCCATAATCATCGGGATTAGAGTATTTTGATATAATAAGCGTATAAAAAGTAAAATCAGGTAAATTGACATAATGATTATGTTTAAAACAATAAGAAAATGTGTATGAACCAATTTTATTATTTTCTTTAACATTGAAGAAATGATGTCCGATGACAATAGATTCATTTGAGGAATCTAATTTACTAAGTACAGGAATTCCTAAACAAGGAATTTTTTCTATTAATGAATTATATTCAAATTCTAAGAATTTTTTATCATCCATAGATTGCTTCGATGCATTAAAATCACTTTCTAGAACTTTCAATTGAATATTTGAATCTGTAAAAATAGAGTTAAAATCTGTATGATAACCAACAATCATCCATCCGATTTTTAATTTACACTCACGTTTTCTAAGTTTGTTTTGTATACAATGGATAATAAGACTTGGATTTCCTTTTGGTGGATGAAAAATTTGATAATTAAAAAAATCATCATTTTCGTCTGTATCTAAGACTGTTGCAAAGATATTACAATCAGTCTTTTTATTTTGAACAATTTTTGAAATTTTTGGTGGTATATCTAATTTAAGTACTTTTGGTTTTTCAAATTCTTCCAAATTATACGTAAAATCTTCAATCCTTGAATAATGAATCTTTTTTCCAATCAATGAAAAAATTCTTCCATGTAAATCACGTGAATCATTAGGTAAAATTTGAAATATGCTAATAGGATTTTTGTATTCTATACAATCCCAATTTCTAAAATCCTTTAAAGATCTAACCCAAGCAGTTTCATCAAATTCTTCAAGACTATCAGGTTGTTCTCCTCCAATTAATTTCGTACATTCACGTTTACAAGAATTAGTATTTCCTTTTGAATTTTCAGATCTATTTCCTACTCCAATGTCTAAAGCCTGCTGAATACCTACTTTAACAACGCTTTCATAATCATTTTCTTCAGTTAATTTCTTTGAAGTATGTGTCCCTTCAAAATAAAATCTTCCACCTAAAATAACTTCATCCGGAATGAATTGGCCATATTCCTCAATGATTTGCTTAAGTTCATTTGGATCTCCGGATTCTATAGCTTTCTCTACTATATTAATGAAATCAGAAGTTGGTACTAAACATTTGCTAAATTCTAAAGATACTTTGCCAAACTCTCTATAACTGTAAGTTGAATTCATTTCAACATTAACGTTATTATTTTGCGATTTTCCGACTGATACTCCTAAATTTACTAAATCCCTTACATTAATATTCCCACTAAATAATAAATTTGATTTCATCCCCCAATATTCATTTGAATTATATTCAAATGTTCCTTTTTGACATCCTTTAGCACCAATTTTAGTCATTTTACAATCCTTCCAATCTTTTATTGTGAATGCTTTTTTCTTAGCTTTCTTAATTCCATTAGGAGTTATAGAAAGTCCATATTCTAGATGAAATTTAACATTCAAAAATTTCCAATTACATTTGGAACTTTTTATTAAATGCAAAACGTTACCATCTAAAATAACATCCAAATTTATACTCTTCTCATCTACACCTATTTCACTAAGCCCATCGGGTTCTTTCTTTGCAAATGACAATGCGTCATTCATTTCAATCATATCATTTATTCTAAGTTCTTCACGAATATTTGATAAATTATCATTGACGTTTAAATCGACTAATACTTGTGATGGAGGGTCATCTATTTTAACTGTTATTTTAGTTCTCCCATTTTCATTGAGAAATGCTTTAAACATAATACTACTTTTAAATTTTTTGAAATTCATTTTACTAATTTTTTTAAAAATTTAGAAATGAAAAAAATCGGAGAATTTTTTCGTAACGCTAATCGTGGTGTAACTTATACATGTTAAACAACTCAAATTGTGTACATCGGTACAATGGATGATCTCCTGTATAACTTTTATTAGCCCCATTTCTCAAAAAAGTAATTGTAACATTAAATTGTTATCTTGTGTAGCTATGGAATTTAAAGATAAATTTTGACACTATTAATTCTAGGAGCATAAGAGATAAATTAATTTTTATGTATCATAAGGATCGTCGATCGTGACGTTTTGTAGGAAGATAAATTTTGCTTCTTTTTACAGACCATTTTAAATGATAAAAAGAGATTGAATTATGCGTCATTAGGATTAAAAATAAAGATTTTAGATAATAATGTAATTGATCGAAATGTTTCAAGATATAAAGATATGGTGTAAATTTGTACTATAGTCAAATTTTAGATATCTACATAAATTTCTTTGTCATAAAATTCAGCATGCAACTTATAATAATAAATGAAAAAATTCGGGAAGCAATAAAATCATTTTTTTTTAACGTCTCGAATATAATACAATTTTTTATTAATGAATCATATATATGATTACATTGAAAAAAGAGGAATGAAAATTCAGACGATGATATAATACAATTAATTTGTATACAACGATCCTAATTTTATTTCATTTGGCAATCCCTTATAGATATTTAATTCCACTAAAAGTTATAATGACCTCATATTCTAGTTTGCGTTTAGCGTTCAAAGTTTGAATTTTTTTTTTAATAAGATACAAAATGAAATTTTTCATGTCAAATGAATGATTTGGTACATAAATTCTGAATCAATATCTGATATAATTTAAGATCATGTGAATATAATATATATAATATATAACACATGCATGTCTATATCTGGTTAGAGTTTATATTCTATATTTGGTTAGAGTGAAATATTATTAATATATTTTGCAGATCATATCATCATAGGCTGAGTTAGACGCGATCTACATAGTCGGACAAGGAGTTACTTTTCTACCCTAATTTTATTAGTTTCAGGGGCTACGTGCTAGAAAAATGGGACCTAACTTACTTAAATTAGGTAACACATCTGCAATAAATTCGGGATTTCACGTTCTACAGTAATTGCTTTCTTTTCTACAAATAATAGATCGATAAATTGACGAATAAAATATTATTAATTAATAATATAAAAGTAAAATATTTCAGATATAATGTGAATTGGAAGCAAATAAAACAAATAAAACAATATTTCGATATTAGAATATTAATAAGGTAACATTTTTTTAAAAAAACTCTTTTTTTGGCAAGTTGATAATTTTTTGTTAAATTATCTTGCTATAAACTAGTTTGTCAATTTACATTAGTATCAATTTTGAATTATCTTCACTGTATTTCTAATTATTTCCTTCATTGGTAGAGGTCCGACAGATAGTTAGCTTGAACACAATAAACCAGCTGACCCGAACAAATGGTGTTGACGAAACTTCCCCTTTAATTTCGTATTACTGGCAAATTTAATGACCCTGAAATAACCACAAATCGAGAGAAACGCTCAGAAACAGAATTTCCATTTCTAAAATTTGTTTTATTTATAATATTATTGAACTATCTGAATAATTTCAATTTGTATATGAGTTTCCTTGTTGGTAAAAAAAATTTTCTTTCTATGAAAGCGAGATTGTGTATAAGGCAAGTTACAAATAACGTATTGTTTTAATTTATAAGAGTATTTAACAAAAAACTTTCTTTGACATTTTTAGTGCCCCTTATTTTGTCAAGTGGAGCTAAAGCTTTTAAATCCTCGTAAAACGGATCGTGTCCTGATTGCGAGATTTAGTTGGTTTCTGATCGGTAAACTACTGTTATTCGCCTTCCATGACCAGATTCTCTCATAGAACATATATAATAATTAAGCGTTGGGAAACTGAATTGTTTTACGCTTGGTAGATAACACTTACATTTTGAAACAATGCAAATTCTCCTTTGATATTTTGTAAGTGTTTTGAACATTTTGTAGAAGCTTCGTGAAAATTTGCTAATAGTGGTTTTTGTTCTTATTACTACATAAGCAAATGGATTACTTCACTCTATGCATTAGGCCACGCTTACGAGTATGCGTCGACTGATTATTCCAAAGAATTGTGGAATGGATCATGATTATTGGCAAGGTTGTGCATTATGTATTAGATCACTTTCCGCTATTTTTGGTACAGAAAAGAAATTTGGCATCTCTTAAGTTCATCACGTAGTTCAAAAGTATGTAGATATTATTATTATTATTATTATTTTGCTAATATATGGAAGCAAATAGAACCGATGTCAATAATGACTTATATTTAGGATACTTTTATGGAATCAAAACAACTGCAAAAGATATTAACATTATGTTAATAAAATTTAAATATTTGTAGGTAACAAGGATTAACTCTTTAAAGACATTGCAAATCCAATTTGAACGTTCCTAGGACCTTGGATCTATCAATATAAATATTTTGAGATGATCTGAATGCTAAAAGATCGGGATCATAGTGGGTATGTATTATGTATTTTATAAAATGCTGTTGCCACATAAGTTCGACAATTAACTTTAATAGAACTATTTTTTTTTTATTTTGTACAAATTCGTAACAATTCTTTGGTGATTTTTCCTCAAAAATCACGTTAGTTTTTGCAATTCTTAATTTCACATCTATTCGGCGCCTATATTAACGAAAAAAATCAATTAAGAAGGAGACTGAAGTTGAAGAACAGGAATTACGTTTGTTAGTAAGGATCAATGAATCTCTCTATTTTTTTAATAACAAAATTTATCCTTAAGTTATAAGGTAATTGGCATAGAAATATTTCCAGATCGTTTTCTGATTTTTCCTTCTTCGAGTGTATACCCCCAAAAAATATTCATAATGCTTTTTCATAATATTTAGGGCTTACCTGTTATATAATCTAAACAAATACCTAAAATTGTATATATCACATCCCTAATATATTATGCTAATCTGCGGACGTATTTTCCATTCGAATTGCCTAGGAAAAATTTAGTTTATACAACTGAGTTTCCTGTCTTCACAGAAATCTTTAATGACGCTTGACTAAACTTTATCTCGGTTAAATGGACTAGGCACCACCAAAACGACCCGCCAAAGTGTGTTAGTGAGACTATTACCTCATTGAAAAAGGTCAATAATAGCGAAAACATCTAAGAAAAGCTGACTTCTCTATGACGAAGATATGATATTTAAGAAGAGGGTTGTTTATGTTGTTTATAGGGAATACGAAGTAATCTAAAAGAAAACACGATACCATACACAATCCCACCCACCAAACCTACCAACCTACAAATCTACGAACCCACTTTTGGATAAAAGATGTAACGAGAAAGGGAGAGCAAGAGAGAGGGAAGGAAAAAAGCGAAGTCGATCCAAAGTGAAAATAATTTGTTGTCTTCAGACTTAAAAAAAAGAGCAATAGAAAAACAAAAGTTTTAAGGATGTATTCAGTCATTGCATCATGAGTAATTTTTTTTTGTAGTCTCAATAATTTTTTCATGAATAATTTGAGTTACAATTATAATAGGAGATAGACTCTGGCATTATGCAAACATTAATTTCGGCAATTTTTTTTTCGCATGAGGATTTATTTTAATAAATAAATTTTTTTAGAAAAATTCTATCAAATCATTTTGTTAGTGGCTTTCAATGATGTGATATATTATGCTAAAATGAATAAAAAGGCATAATCAGAGAGAAATATGTAGTATTATTTTTAACAACAGTTTATCAAATTATGTGATGCGTAAATTTGCCTTGAAACGCAGTTAATAGGTTCTTAAATGCTGGCATACTTAACAAACGTGATGGAATGGAAGGTGATTGGATCTTTATGGGTTAGAGGCAGAAGTGCTAATGGTATCCGATATAAGAGAATAAATAGAACAAATTAACCTCACTTAGAATAGATAACATGTGATCAAAATTTTCGTTCACTCTGAGCTACACAATTATTCGATTATATCTAGTTCAAAAAAACAGACACGTGAATTTTCAAACGGAATTCGGCAGAATAAGATATGTTTATATCCTTAAATCAATACCATACTCGCTATGCTGGGATCGTGTAACTACACATGTAGTATAATAACGCGTTGAAAATACATTAATTGCATTGAAAATTGCGTTGAAAAACATGTCAATTTATTGTAGAATGTATTTCAACACATTAATAAAAAAACACATTTAGTTGACAAATGACAGAACCGACAATACGCTTATGATTTTATCAAGTTCAACCATTCAAGTAGTTTCAAAGAGTTATTTCTTGATCATTGATACAACTTTTACGTTTAAAACACGATCGTAGGTGTTCATTATTTCGAACTGGAAACATGTTTTTTATCCAACGATAGTGCTTTTGCCATTTAAGGAGTTGGAAATGTTAATAATCTCGAACTTATAGATGACGCAAGTAAATAATTAATACTGATTATCTACGAAATCAAAAGTTAAAACCTTGTCATATAATTTTAGGAATGAAATTTTGGATAAATCTATGATTTTTTGGAAAATGAGATGTAATAAACTTAATGAAATTAATAGAGGTTTGGGAATTGATAAAAATGTTAAAAAACAACATTTTGGTAAAGAGCAGTTTATTGATAAAACGCGTACATCGAAAAATAAGAAATACTTTAATCTACAAAGTCTTCAGAGTCATATTTATTTTGGGGTAATACAATAGATTACTATAATATTATTGATTACGGTAGTTTTATTTTTATTATTTTTTGTATTGTAGTAGTAGTTAAAGGTGTTGTGACAGGTTTTTATATAACATTACCGAAGTCCATACGAATAGTAGTGGATATACGATAATTTGGTGAACCTGGTAGATAGTTCTTTTGAACAATCTTAAGTCCCTGATAATATTATAGTATAATTCGATCGTGTTCTGTTATATAATGTAGATCATTTCTTTTTTTGTAATTTTTCTTATTTCCTAATAAAGTAATAATTTGACTTCGTTAAAAAAAAAAAGTAAATAATTAATAATGATGATACCAATCGAATGATGATTTTGAATACTTAGAGTATATTATTTACGTTATAAATACTAAAATACTAAGTAAAGATAGCACCAATTATCGATGAAGTGAAAATCTCACCCAAGAATAAATAAATAGGATAGGAATAAGTAGGTTAGAATTTGTCATTTATTGGTTTGTATTTTTACGAATAGAGTGTATAGTTGGTTGAATAGTAGTGAATATTATAACAGATAATAAATATATAAATTGTTCAATTTTTTTAAAATAAACATTGAGATTTAATAGCGTAGAGCGATAGAGCTTATACTTACAAATTTCTATGTGCTGACTCGAGTGGTGATTGCTTCGCAATGATTATATTCTCACAGTTAAAGTTATTTGTTTCTAAGAAGTAGATAACTTTTTCCAAAATTACTTGATCCAATCATTATCATATGAAATAAAACAAATAATTTTTGAATAAAAATAGAGTTATAAAGATCATTAGAAATTTATTTTTGTAATTTTTTGAGATTCAATTACATTCTTTTCAAAATCAGTTTTACCATGAACTATTTTCACATTGATATTTTCTTTTATTATTAGAACAATGCGTTGAAGAGCAATATATAAAAATTTATGAATATGAAAGATTTAATGATAGAAGATAAGTAGCGGTAGTGAATATTTTAAAATTACAAAATTACATCATTATGAAATTGAAAAAAAGGAAATTTTTTTTAACGGACATAACGAACTTAAATCTGCGTGTCATAATAATATGTAATCGACTATTAGGATTCATAAGGTCCGAAAAGCTCAAATACAATTGATATTATTTTACGAAATTGTTTTAATTCTTCAACAGGTTTGACATAAAAAATTTACAACTTTTAATTAAATTCTACATTTATAGCAACGATGACTTTCGATTTCAGCAATTTTGATTATGCTGAACAGTCTAATCTTCAATCTGAAAACAGTACAAACTTTGATACAATTTTAAAATAATAATTTAACTTGTTTTGAAAGATATTGTTCATTTACTAATAATGAGTGCGAACCACACTTACACAATTGATCCTTTACCCAAAACGTTTTAAACTTATCCAATACTGCTTAGTCCTTAAATTACTTATCTTTTCCGCATAAACAACCACTATTATCGTTGTTAACAACACGTATTACTACTTATATTTTTATTTCGTCCATATTAATAAATTTAACCAATAATAAAAATTACATAAATTTTGATAGCACTAAAGTTGCTAATCAAGGTATTAGTGAATTTAAAGTAATCTTTACTATTAAGTAAGGATTAAGAATTGTAGGAGATTTTAAATTTTAAACGATTCTGATAGTTCTTAAAGTGTTAATTCAGGCTACTCCGTCAAACTTTTGCACGTTCATGTTATAAAACCATCGAATATTTTCAATTAGGTCCATTTACATCATTTTCAGATAAAAGTACAAGCACCATCATAACTTTCACAATTGCTAATGATATCCTAGGATAATGAATCTAACCAAAATCAAAATTTCATATATTTGCTTCTTACAAATATTGTTAAGTTTAATACTAGTACAGTATATGACGAGTAAAAATTATGAAGCATCTTAGAAATTCATTTTTTTTTATGAATTATTAATATTCTAATTTAAAAATTTCGTTAAGTTCAATGGATTTAATAACCTATAGAGTTCTAATATAGATTGAGAATGTAGTACTGAAGAAGCTTCTACTGTATATTCAAATTAAAAATTTCAGACGTGGATAGTCAGAATGTTTTTTATGGTATCTCTATGTTTGAGATTTGAATTATTTTATAATTTTAACCGATTTGATCCAACGAACATAATGTATGATAAGTTTGCCAAATAATAACATGCAACTTTAACTTAATTTGTATATTTGAATTACAAAAATTCTTCGAAAATAAAATTATCGCTATATACATTTAAGAGAAACCTTTACAATTAAATTGCTTCACTCTGTTAATTTATTTTATATATTTTGTTTTAAAATGAATAACTTATTGAGATTTTAAAAAAAAAATATTTTTAAGATTTATCTATTTTGCTCAATTATATTTTCATCGTACATTTATTTTATTTTATTTTTATATAATTATATATATCCTTTATTTTATATAAGGGATCTGGAATCTAGGAACCCGGACCTGTGGCATATGATTTTTCAGTAAACCCGGATTTTCATAATTCTGGCCTAATTCTGGCGGAAATGAAACTGGTCAAAATTAAGTTGGCCAATTTACAACAAATTGATATATAATGGTGCTGGGCCATTAATATATTAAGTCCGGGCTGGACCAGGCTAAACACTCTAAGTTAATTTTCAGATGCAGACTTGGCTAAGCTGTAAAATACGGGTAATGCAAACCTTTAATAAAGGTTGTTGATTTTTTTTAGATATATTTCATGCTTTTAGGCAATGATTAAAGATACTCTTTCAGCAAAGTTCTATCTCAGATTCTTACCTTTTTCTTGAAAATATATTTGATGTGTTTTTAGTTTTAGTAGTGATTATGTAAAAAAAAAAGAACTTTATAATGGTTTCCTTTTAACTTTAACTACAAAAATTCTAACCTTTAAAAGCAAATTTGAATTATTCAAATAAAAATCTAAATTCATTAACTTACTGCATTAACTTACTGCATAATATTTTAAAAATTGGTACAGCAAAATTTTGTATATTAAAGGTCATTTTATTATATCTGATATTCAACATTCATTTGCACTTCTTTTATTCACAAATACAAACTCACTATAATAAGTATAAAATTTATAATGTAATGTATATTTATAGTAAAATTTGTAAGAAGTAAAAAATACTTAATCCAACCAAAAAAAATTATTTTATCACCATAATGAATTTGTTTTTATTTGCAATAATGATTATCTGGACAATTGGACGTCATACAAAAAAAAAACAACCGTCTGTACTGTACTGGCTCCATAATATATAGTATATATAGGACAAGTAGGTGTCTAAATGATCAATATGACTAAGTGTACCATTATTTTGGACAATGACCATAGTTATTTGGACATTAATGTTGTTTTTCATCTACAGATATTTATGATAATGATATGATTTTTTATCGTGATTTATGTAAGTAGAAGTCAGCACAGCGGCAGCATCTGCAGAGGTGGCAACTTTGGTTGTCATTTTAAGAGGTTTTTCGACTTGTGGTATAAAGGAATGGTGGCGGATGTGCATCGGTGTGCTATCCCAGGAATCAACTGGTGGCATAAAGGAATGGTGCATCGGTGTGCTATCCCAGGCTATAGAATTATTTTTATTTAAATAATTTGGTTGACATTGTTGACACCATTTGTTATCATTTATTATATTGTTACCACTTATATATTTGTACTTATATTTACTACCACATATTTCACAATAACAATCAAAATATTTATCATCAAAAACTAAAATATAATCCCTTGTTTCTGGATTTTGAGTTATTCCATATATTTGATATTTATTATATTTATACTCTCTTAAATTATAATTTTGATACTTATAATCCACTAAATACGATTCAACCTATTAAAAAAAAAAAAATTAATATAATATTAAATATCATAATTGATTAATAAAAATATTCAATACCTTATTCATAAATTCATCAGTAATATCTTCTAGATTATGTAAATATCTTAATACAACTTTTTCATATGATATTCTCTTCAGTTCCTTTTTACTTGTACCATAATATAATGGACCATCCATCCATAATGCTGTAGCAAGCCCAAATTTTTCATCTACTTTTTCAATTTCAATAAATTTATTATAAGGTATCCACTCAAATACAGCATTATAACTGTTAATAAATTCTAATTGCTTTTTTTGAATAAATTCATCAAGTTTTTTATTTTTACTAGTCCAGTTTATAAAATTACTTTTTAAATAATTTATTTGACATATTTTACAAATTTTAATATATGGACTACTTTCGAATTTATTATCACATTTTTCACAATGATATTGAAAATATTTATTATTAAAAACCAAAAAATAATTTTCTGTATTTGGACTTTTAGTTATTCCATAATTTTGATAATCATCTGATAAATCATCATCTAATAAATATGATTTATTTAATACCTTATTTGTAAGTTTTTCAGTATTTTGATACTTAAGATTTATTTCATAATCTAAAAAATTCTCATATAAATTATCTGATTCATTTGATATCTTATTTGTAAGTTTTTCAGTAATATTTTGTGGGTTGTGCAGATATTTTAATACAACTTTTTTATATGATGTCCCTACCAATCTCTTTTTATTATTATTATGTAATGGACTAGTATTCCTCCATAATGCTGTAGCAAATCCATCTTTACCATCAATTTCTTTAATTTCAATAAACTCGTTGTAAGGTATCAAATTAGTAGTATATTTATTGATATTTAATTGATTTCTTTGAATTAAATTATAATCATTCACATTTCTGCTATTCCTGCATGTGAAATTATTATTTAAATCATCCAAATGGCATGATTTACACCATTTATTTTTTATATTTTTAATGTATTGTTTACCACATTTTTCACATAATTTTTTGAGTATTTTACTTTTAGTATCCAATTTTAAAAGATATTTATCAATTATACTTATTTCAGTTCGCCTATTTGCTGATAAATTCATTTGGGAAGTTTCATCTAATAATTTATTAAATAATTTAAATAATTCTACTACTTTAGGGCGGTATGAAGGATCTTTATTCCAACATTGTATAATTGTCACTAAAATTGATTGAGGAATTTTATGACTAAAATGTTCGGTAGGTATATCATTTTCCTGATTCATATTAATATAGGGAAGTAATCCTGTATAGATTTCATATACAATAGTTCCAAAACCATAGACATCACTTGCTTGAGTATACTCCTTTCTTTTAAAAATTTCGGGGGCTATATAAGGTGACACTTCTGTTTCTTTTTGATCACTAGACTGATATAATTCAAATAATCTAAAATTGGCAATAAAGGCAAAATTATTATCACCTAATAATATATTACTAGAATTCAAATCACAATGAATCAATCCATTTTTATGAATATCATTAAGGCCCATAACAATATTTTGTAAAATTTTTAACTTTTCTTTCCAATCTAATAAATAATAATTATTTTTCAAATATTTTTTCAAATTACCATTTTTTGCATATTCTATTACAGCTTTAAAGGTATTTGTTTTTGGATCTTTAGTAATACCATAGCAGTGAATTACATTACTTGAATGATTCATTATAAGATATGATTCAATCTGAAAAAAAAATTAATAATGATACATTAATATTATTTAAATTAACTTCTATATAATAATTATAATAAATTAACTTACTTCTTTTAAAAATTTAGCCTTAACATTTTGTAAATTTAAACATTTTAAGGTAACAATTTCATTCTTTCGCCATCTTTCCCATTGATTTTTTTCAGTATCCCAACATCTTATAAATCCATCTTTCCAAATCGCCTTATAAGTAGTAATTCCAAATTTATCTTCATCCAAATATTCAATATTTTCAAACTTATTATACTCAATCCATTCTAATACTTCTCTATGATTTTTAGCCTTAAGTTGTACTTTTTGAATGAGTTTATCAATCTCAGAATTTCCACTAGTCCAATTTTCAAAGTTTTGCTTAAAATATTTAGAATTACATGATTGACACCAAGTATAATCAGTGTTAAATTGATTACAATTTGGGCATGGTCCATAATTTATATAATCAATCGGATATTTGATAATATTTTGAATGCTATCAAATTTATCCATTTCATCTTGTAATTTCTCACATAAATTTTCTTTTGTTAAAGTATATCCTATTAGATCTAAAGAGAATTTCTTTTCTCTATAATTATCGATTTTTAAATTGTTATAATACGTAGACAAAATACAAATACGTAAATTCATTTCAATATTTGTTAAAGAATCATTATCTATATCATCAGAATCATTATCATTATCTATTTCATCAGAATCATCATTACCTATATTATTATCATCAAAATTACTATTATTTGAAGTTGATTTCATTATTTGGACATTAATGGACTCATTTTTCCATTCGATTAACTTAATATTATTAGGTTCACAATTTGTTGATGGATGATATGCATTAATAAGAATGTTATTTCCTAGAAATAAAGGAGGAGTTTTAATATTATATACTGATTTATTAGGTTGTAATGTTATAGATTTTTCAATATAATATACTTGAAATTCTTCATTGTTTGACGATTTTGATAATTTTAAAGGATTTCCAATAACTATCCATAATATATAACATTCTTTTATAACAATGATTGTTTCTTCTAATTTTTTTATTGTTGCAACGAATCCGTTAAAGTCATACAATCCAAAATTAACATAAAATTCTTTCAATTTTGAATTGTTTTTTGAGATAATTGATCCAAATACTTCATAATCGTCGTCTTCTAATGGTGATTCAAAATTCACACGTTTGTAATCCTCAATATCATTATCTAAATCTTTCAAATCGGTAATTCCTGTCATTATAATTTTACGATCATTGGATTTTTTTAATAAACTATCTATTTTTCTTTGTTGTTGTTGTTCTAGGATTTTGTAAAAAGGAATAATATCATCAAGCTCAATAATTTCCAAATTATTAGTGTTTTGAATCCAATTTGTCAAACTATTTTTTTCAACAACTTCGCCTTCTCGTGTTAAAAGATATGAAATATTGAGATTATCTAATAATTCAAATATTGGTGATTTTAGGTTTATATTATCAAACATATCAACCGATGAAGTCTTTGGTAAAATGTTTCTAAGAGTTCTTCCTAAAATAATTCTTTGCGGAAATAAATGACCATATTCATCGAATACATCTTGTAAAGCTTCTAATGGTTTCATATTATTTAGTGCGTTCTCTATGATTTGTTCAAATTCCTTTGTAGGTTTAATATTGTCTTTACTTAAGCGAATTTCATATTGTTCATATTTGAAAAGAACATGAATGTGATCACCATAACTTTTATTATTACTTTTAATAAATGGAAAAGAGTTTAAATCCTTCATTGAGAAAATATTATTAAATATTAAGTTGTTCTCTAATTTCATTGTTGGATTTATCATTTCAAAATAAGTTTTATCACTGATATTTACTTTGGGAACTTCGATAATATTGATGGCAATTTTCTTACTGTTTTCTATTTTATGCGATTGATTAATCACAAGACCTTGAAATGGATGAAAAACTTTGATCCATTTTACTAAATTAACATATAAATCATCTCCAACCCATTCTTGTAAACTTAATTTCCTTTCAAAATTAGCAATTCCAGGATTTTTTTCGTCTTGAGTTTCAGAATCATTCGCTGCGAATATTGTATCTTCCGCATCTGCATCTTTTGCCTTTCTTAATTGAGAAATGGATCTAAGATTTTTATAAGAGATAATATCAATTACATTATCCTGATATAAATTATTTAACCAATTGGCCAATTTTTTGGGAGTATTTAGCTTTACACCATTTGGTGTTTCTAAATAAAGTGCGCCAAAAGTATCATCGTTGAATTGGGTTGCGTTGTTATTTTTAGCCGAATTATATGCCCACGTTATGTAAAATTTCAAAACATCAATTTGTTTGGAAGAAGCTAGACGGAAATTTTCGACAAATAATTGTCCACCGACTAAAAATTTATTTGCAAAGATATGTCCATATAAGTCGTGTAAATCTTTATCATCTTCCACGTCTTCCACATCTTCCATATATGTTGAAAAAGATTCCAATAAATCACCTTTATATGTGATTTCAGCAACTGGAAAATTAATACAAATATCAAAAGGTTGTAAATCGCTAAAAATATGATTGTCGAAAGTGAGCAAATTCGTAAGACTATCAAAACCATTTATATTAATATAAACCATAGGTTCGCCCCTATACAAATTTGTACACAAATCACCATCATCAACAAAAACAGCTTGTTTACTTGGTTGTATACTATGTCCATCCAAGAACAAACCATGATGTAACTTCCACTGTTGCGTCATTCGTTGCTTTATTTGTTCTTCGGTTAACGAATCTAATTCTAATTTCGTGCGAGAAATGTAAGATTATAAGAAATTTTAAAGATAACTAATAAAGCAAGGACATAAATATAAATTAAACTTACCAACATCTTTTTCTTTAGTTTCCAAAAGCGAATTTTCTGATAACTTATCTAGTCTTTTTATAGCTAACTCATATCCATTATCTGCAGACTTTTTATACCACCCCATGGCATTTTCAAAATCCTTTGTTGTACCAACACCATCTTCATAACAAACGGCGACATTATATTGAGCAATACTATATTTCATATTGGCAGCTTTTAAATATAACTCAAAAGCTTTTGATTTATCGATGGAAGTTCCAATACCATTTAAATAACAATAACCCAACATATTAATACCGAAAATAGATTCACCCTGAGCGCTCAAACCATAATAATAAAAAGCTAACTTATAATCTCTATTGACATAAATTCCTTGTTGATAATAATTTCCAATACAATATTGTGCATTTGTATGACCATTATTTGCTGCCTTAATATACCAATTAAAAGCCATCCCTTCGTCATTCATAATCCCAATACCTTTTTCATAACAATTTCCCAATGCAAATTTACCTACTATATTTTGATCATGGCTAGCACTTTTTTCGTACCATTTAAATGCCAATGGTTTGTTAATCATAGTTCCTAAGCCATATTCATAACAAACTCCTAAATAATATTGAGCAATAGGATGACATTGTAATGACGCTTGATGAAAATGATCGAATGCCTTATTAACATTCATTTTTGTACCGATTCCTGAAAAATATAAATGTCCCATAAAAAACATATGATCCGCATTCGTCATTTTATTCGTATTCAACCATTTATAAATTTCTTCAATGGTGATATCATGTAATGATAAGAAATTGTCAAGGATTGGACGATATTGATCACGAGATTTTCCTTCATTAGTTATCTTTACGATTAACGTTATTAATCCCATCACAATAATACTGATTATTTCTGACCCATCTTTCGGTGTCTGATGTTCAAGTGCTTGAGTACGTGACGACATTATTTCTTTTAAAGTAACGATAACCTGTTGAATTGTTGGTCTATTATCTGGATCGCCATCCCAACACTCTAAATAAAGTAATATTTTAATTATTTTAGTTCAAATACAGCTAAAATAATTTAATATAAAATCTGTACTCACTCGTGTATAAATTAGAATATTCTTCAGGCGTATCATCTTCAATACTTTCTCTAAACCCTTGTACAATTTTCATAACCAAAGATGAATCATATTTATCATGAATAAAAGGTCTTTTACCGCTAGACAGTTGCCAAAGTAATACGCCGACGCTATAAACATCGCTTTTTTTATCCAAATTATACTTTACTTGTAATTCTTCCTCCTCAAATGACATTTCTTCCTTAATTTTTGTAATTTTAAATGCTTTAGGATCAATAAAAGGAATTATACAACATAGGCTTGATACAATTTCGCCATTATCATCTTCAATACGTTTACTTAATCCAAAATCTGCTAATTTGATTGAATCTCGATGTATAAGTATATTATTTGAATGCAAATCTCTGTGTATAATCCCTTCTTCATGCAAACATTCTATTGCACTTGATAATTGGAAAGCCAATCTATATTTATCTTGCCAATCCAAAGAAAAAAAATTCTTCCTTAAATAACTATTAAGAGTTCCTCCGTCTGCATATTCTAATACCAAAAAATATTTCTTGTCTACGAAAAGAAAAAAAAAGTTAAAATTCTTGCATATATTTTTAATTTATTGTTAATTTTTTTTTAAAAAATAAAAAACTATTTACCAGAATCATTTTTAATTTTAGTTATTCCATAAAAACGTAATATATGATCATAAAAATCAACTTCTCGATGCAACTTTATCTATACAATAATTAACATTTAGTAAATCTCTTAAAAAAAAAAAGCTTTAATATTTACAGTACCTCGTTGACCGCTTTTTTAACAACATTATCGAAGTCTAAATTAAATAATTTTAGTGCAAAATATTTTTCTGTCTGTTTCCAATTTGCCCTATACACTTTACTAAATTCTCCACTACTTATTACTTCCAAATTATTAAAATCATGATATTCATAGTATTTTATATGCTTCTCTTCTATGCGTTGATCAATCCAATTTATCAATTGTGCATCTGACATTTTTATTCAAAAATTTGCAGCAAGATAAAAACGAAAGTGGCTCTCAAAAATTTGGGGTTATAAATCGTAAAGATCGGCCATTACGAAATTTGTGTAACTTTTTTAGGATTAACAATAACATGGTCACAATCTTCCCCAGTATCACCGACACTTTTTCCACCCCACGTGATTTTGTAATATTCATCACCGGCATCACACCCCACCGCGTTTTCACTGTTTATATTTATCTGAGGGACTTAGTGTTTTTTTGCCTCACAAAATTATTTTTTTCACATCCCTTTAAATGTCACCGGTCACGTGGGGTGGAATTTTAATTATAAAAGTGTCGGTGATACTGGGGTAAATCATGGTCACAAGTATGGTCACATGGATCATAGGAGTAACAAAAGCATGGTCACATGGAAATAAAGTTCGATGATAAACGTAATATAACCAAAAAAGTTTACTATATTATAACAAATGCACGTTGTCCGACAAAATTTTTTTTTTGAAAAAAAAAGATAAATAAATAAAATAAAAATGAGTTTATTCATTAGAAAACTTCTTAATAAAAATGTTGACGTATCGGTTCAAACAGGTATTCAGCCATCACAATCCGTATTAATTAGTTTAAACCTTAACAATAATTTATCAGACATTCGTCAAATACTCAAACAAAATAGTGAAATAAAAATGAATGATACGTTATCATTTGCAAAAAAGACCAGTCGAGTCAATAGCGATGGCACTACTGATTACGTGCTTTCTGAAATAGCAGGCGAAGATGAATGTGAGAAAATTTTAGACAATATTATAGAAAAAATTGACGATAATATTGTTTTATACTTAATAAAAAATTCAAAACCTAATTGGAAGTTTTTGAGTGGGAAATGTAATTTAGAATATGGTCGTACTATAACTCTTGATGGAATTAAGAAAGCTGAGAATAAAGCATTTACAATGATAAATTGTGAAATGACTGAAATTGGTGCTGAGGGATGCCGAAAAGAAATGATTGAATTTAATTCAAATGAAGATAGGATTATGAAAACGGAATTATCTTTTAGTGGGAATATTGATGTACAAGATTTTGTAAAATTTGGAGTATCAATTAGCGTTAGTACATCAAAAAGTAGTCGGTCTAAGGCTGAAACTAGTTCTGTTTGTAATTTTACAGAATTTGGTAAAGTATCTTTAAAATTGAGTGAATATTTGAAGCCAACCCCGGAATTTATTAATGTGGTGAAAGAAGCTATAAAATCTAATGATCCTAGAGGGGGATTCGAAAAAATTACTAAAGAATTCGGTCAATTCATTCCAACTGAAGTTATTTTAGGCGGAAGGGCTTATTTTAAAGGAGTAAAGATTTCTAAAGAATCTTCTGAAGAAAATGTTAACAAAGGAAACGTAAGTGTGGCTACTCCAGCTTCAAAGATTGGGTTAGGATATTCTTCTGAAAATTCAATCGGGAATGCTAATTATTCTAAACATGAATGTTTTAAGTTAATTGGAGGAGAACAGCCTGATAGTCTTGAAGATTTTGATGAAAAAGCATGGGTTAAATCTTTATTAGATTTCAGAAATTGGGATTGTATACAGTTAAAAGACCCTATTAGTATATTCCAACTTTTAGATGATGAGTTGCGTAAAGAAATTATTTTATGTATTGGAAAAAGAATTCTTCATTTAAGCTTTGAAGAAATTAATTATCAATTGGAAGAACCTGATAGACCAAAAGTAATCGATTTGAATATACCATCAAATATTTCAGATATTGTTCAAAATGAGGATGCTAAATGTAACATTTTTGCAACGGTTATTGACAAAAAGGAAGTGGGAAATGATTATTTTAGTTGTCAAATTCTCTTTCCACCAAACGGAAAACCGAGACTTATAATCCATTGTATTCAAAATAAGTTTAAAAAACGTAAATGTCATTTGAGCATTGGTTGGATGGTTATTGGATATTATGTTAATTTTAAATTCATTCTTAGAGATTTTGATACTCGATTGGAAACTTTCAGTAGCCGTTTTAATTCATTGAATAAACATTTTGGTACAGGTTTCCTAGAATTTAAATACAATTCAACAGTAGACAGTATTTCATGTTTAGGAATCCCTTTACTAAGTGAATTAAAATCTTCAAATCGATCTAGCGTTATAGGTCATCACTTTTTCAATGACGAAAAAAATAATAGAATTGGATCATACATATTTTCATATTGTTTAAAAAACAAAAATTATGTTAATTTACCTGATTTTACTCTATGTACTCTTATTATTTCAAAATACCATACTCCTAATTCCTATGGTATATTACCTTTCGAAGAGAATGGCATTGTTGAATCTTTAGGACCAAAGTATATCAGTTTACATTCAAAGGGAGAAAATGATTGTGGTCCAATTTTTCCAAAACAAAAACAAAAAGAAATCAAAATAAAATATATTTGTAAAAGTAAAAAATTAAAAAATCTGAGATATGCATATTTTGCTACAGATGAGTTTTTAGTATAAGTTATTTATTATTTTTATTAAATGATTTAATATTAAAGAAATTTTTTTTTTAGGTAAATTAGTAACATTGTTTGTCACATTAGGAAAGAAATACTCTGAGTAACCAATAGGGAACTGAGATCATATTAATTAATTCATGAAATTTGGATAAATGAATGTTAAATATTAATTTATAGTTATTTGTATGTAAAATTAGAATATTTGTATATTAATAATATTTATTATTAGATATTTAATAAGTTAACAATGTAAAATAATAAAGATTGTATATTTTTCATTTTAATAGGATTACTGGAATGTTATCGAACTTATAAAATTTTTTAACAATAGTTATCGATAAAATGTTGGTCATGCCTTAAAGGTGTAGATCGTTCATCGTTCAAGACATTAATCTTCAACGTCGAAAATATATTTAATAGAGTATATTATTCAAGAATTGTATTATGAACAAATGATTTTAATTTGTTTAATTTGTTAGAACATGCTAAGGATTGATGATACCGCAATTTTACATTCTATGTATATCATAATGTTCCGGGCTAAACCATTTTACGATTGGCGAAACGTTTCGTCTTTTAGGGTAAACTTCCGAAACTATGCTCAAACTTCCGTAACATGCCCAAACCTCCGTAATTTCCGAAACATTTATTTTTAAATTACTTATATCCGGAATTTCATAAACTTATTTATTGTGATTAAATGTAAAATAAAAAATAAAGTAAATTGAAGTTTAAAATTTATGGTTTGTTTATTGAATCCTTTATTATTATTAGCAAACAAACTTTACATATTTTATCAGCTTCTATATCAGGGTCCCATTCTATACTACTTTCATTTTCTATATCTTGTATATTTTCCTCCTCCATATCTATATTGTCGCTATCTTCAATAATTTTGTCTAAATCTTTTATAAATGCATTTGCGTCCAAATTTAACTCTCTGCTAATCATCAAATCATCCTCCTCATCAAATATTCTTGTTTCTATATCATCACTTTCGTAATCATCATCAATAACTTCAATAAGATCGTCACCTGTATTCAAACCAAAATATTACGAATTTCCTCATTTGTTTTTCCTATACCATAATATGACAATTCTTTGTTTTGCATGTGCATGCAAGTGGCCTCATAGTGACCATCTGATACTTGTTCACCCTGTTTAGCGTAAGTTCCCCATACAAGTGACTTAGACCTACCACCTAAATTTTTCGTTTTTTTATTTTCTTCACGTTGTAGTAAATCATCATCTGGTAAAAACTCTTGATATTCTAGTTTGCGAGTCTGCATCAAAATTTAAAGCTGCGGTTTCCGCAGTTTCTGCATGTTAGATAGGATGATCATTTTCCTTTTTTAGGTTTCAGAGGTTATGGAAGTTACGGAAGTTTCGTCACATTTCGGAGGTTTCGGCAGTTTCGGATTTTTAACCAATGGCAAAACTAGTTTTGTCAAGTTTCGGAGGTTTCGCCTGCAAATAGGTTTCGGTTTCGCCCGGAACATTAGTATATCACAAACTAACCCGGTCTTAGTAAGTATTTTGAGACATTATAACCTTAAATCTTACTAGATTGAATTTCGGAATTTATGTATTTGAAAACTTTTAGTTAAAATAATTCTGATTTGCGATATTTTAAACAATGTGTCTTAATTTTGGCAAAAGAAAAACTTTTTCGATGACCAAATAATTTTAACCAAATATTATATACACTGAGAAAGATTCTAATTTCTAGATTCTAAATTCCAGTGTACTTTAAAACCTATAGAATTTAGTATTATTAATTGTATAAATTCAAGTTTCATGGTATGCATAATTCTTTTTTAATCTCTATTAATTTCGTTTACTAACAGTAGCACAGTAAAAAATTTATCAGAAGTGTATTAGGAAATTTTAGCCCTGTTCATTTCTGCTCCATTCCGATCTGATCCGATTTTTTTGGCCAATCAAAAAACAGCGTAAATTGAGCAGAAAAATCCGCGTTATGATCTATCCAATTTTTTTCTTTTTATAATTATGTCTAAAAAGGATATTGAATATGCTTTAATATTATGAACAATACAGGATTAAAATGACTCTTTTGACTCTTTAATGATGATGATTTAGATAATGATAATGATTTAATAAAAGAAATACTTCTTGCTTTATCCTCTTTATGTTATCTTGTTCTCCGAATCCATGTTCCTAAGTCTCAACATTGGTATCGTGAATCTTATCATTATATGATGATATACAGTTTAAAAAAGTTTTACGAATGGAAAGACAACAATTTAACAATCTAGCACTAGTTGAATTTCAATTAGTAATATTTCTTTGGCGTTTAGTTCTAAAGATGATATTTTAAGTATTTGTTCTCGACTTGTAATATGTAAAGGTACTGTAATTCTTTATATTAATCGTGTAATGAAGGCCATTAGAAATAAAAAATTGGAGTTTGTTCAATGGCCTAAGAATATTAATCGTGCTATTGTTCATGCAGGATTTCAAGCTATTGGGGTTTCAGAATGTTATTGAAGCAATAGATGGGACTCATCAGTTTTGGCGTTTTTTTTCGATTTTACATGTAAAAACGCCGGAATAATTAGTTCCAGCGTTTTTCTTTTTGATTTTACATGTAAAAATGCCGAAACTGATAGTTTTGGCGTTTTTTTTTCGATTTTACATGTATTTTATTTTAAATGAGGCACCTGCACAAGATCTAACAGCATTTTTTTACAAGAAAATAAGATACGTAATTCATTGTCAAGGAATTGTTGATGTTAAAGGAATTTTTATTAATTATATAATAGGATGGCCAGGATCAGTGCATGATGCACGAGTCTGATTTTTTTCTTAATAAAACAAAATATATTGAAGGAGATGATTATGTGTTAGGTGATTCAGCATATCCAATCTCTTCCTTTTTAATTACTCCTTTTAAAAATCCTTTTAATCATCGATAACGTCAATTTAACTTTATTCATTCAAAACATAGAGTTGTTGTAGAACATGCCTTTGGTAGATTAAAGGCTAGATTCAAAGCATTAAAAGAATTATCTGTAAAAGATATAAAGATGGCAATTAAATTAGCAAATTGTGAAATTTGTGGGAAATTTGGGAGATTAACGATCAAAATGATGATGATAATGATAATGATAATGATCAATATGATTGGGAAGATGAAAGTGATGAAATTTTAAAATTAGAAGGCGAACTTGAAAGAGAAATAATGTTAATCAATATGTAGCATAACAAGTAATTAATAAACAAATTTTACAAAAAAAATATTATATTTATATTATATTTCACAAATTTATTTAATAAACTTCATAATCTATACAAAATTTTCATTCATTACTTTTGCAAAATTTTAACATTTCCAACTCTAATTAACCTTCTCATTTTCAGCAATCTTTCTATCTCCAACTTACTCTTTTCCAACTCATATTGCTGAATTAATTCTTTTACTCAAATTCGAATTTCTTTTGGCTTTCACGCTCCTCTAAGTCTAGTTTTTTTTCATAAAATCTATCTCTTGATTATCCCATTGCTGCAATTACCTAGATTTTTCATTCCCTTTCCCTTTCCCTCTCGTTCTCCTCCTCCCTTTTCGTTCCATTTCCCTTTCCCTTTCGTTCTTCCTCCCTTTTCGTCCATACCTTCAATTCCTGTTGATTTTCTTTTCTTTTTTCGTGTTTTATCAGCTTTATAATTTTTTTTTATTATCTGAATTTTCGTCATCAGAAATAGGAGGAGAATCTGAAGCTGAATCTGTAACATAATCCGGGTTGATTGCTTTACTCTGTGACAAAATTTCTTCCATTTGTGAGAACCAAATCTATTCTACACTACTTTCACCAGTAAACTTAGCTTTTTTTTTTTTGCAAATACATTTCACGCAATTTCCCAACCTTATTTCTGAATTGATCAAGAGTACGACCTGGTAACACGTTTTCACTTATAATTTTTTGATAAACCTTCACCTTTCCCCGTTTCCATTCTTCCAAATTTTCTTTCCAAAACTCAAGAAAAATTTTAATTTCGCTATCTGTCCACTTGATGCCATCATCATTTGATTTAACTTATTTTTTTCAAAACCTGCTTTTTACGTTTAGTACCTTTAATTGGTGACTAAAGTAAGTAAAAAAGTAAGTCTTAATTTATAGAAATCTAATTATGTGTATTAAACTGAAATTATTACCATAGAAACTTCAATTTTTTGTGATTTTTCTTGGGTAGTTTCCGCGTCCAGCTATTTGTAAATGGAATATATCAAAATAAAGTAAATAAATTAATACTAGACAAAATCATAAATACAAATATCTTTAGTAGGTTCAGTAAAGTCATCAGAAAGGTCAATAATTGTTTGAATTGTTTCTTTATGAGTTAAAGTTGGTTCAGATGCAATCTTACTAGGCAAATTATTACTTTGTTCTAACGTGGTTGATTTTGGACGTATAATAACATGGAGTTTTACGTTTGTATTAACATCTATATTGCTTGCTGACAAAACTTTTTTTCTTGTTTTTAGAAGTTATTGAAGTTATTGAAGTCATTATTAACGCGAGACTGCAAAAAATGTGTATTCAGAACACTTGGATCATCAATTTTTTTGATCTGTCAATGATCCAATTTTTAAGTTGGCTAAAAAATTTTTTGAAAATCGGATCAGATCGGAACGGATCAGGGCTAATATTTTAATTCCTGCTGATCAATTATGATCATCATTACATCATATGACTGCGTATTTATTTGCTTAACTATTTTTTGACAAGATATGATTGATAAATTGTGTATATTACGTAAAAATACATATATATACCCTCTGTGGATCATAGTTAATACGAAAATCCCTGTTTCCTGCCATTCTTTTCTTTTCACAAAACAACTTATCATAATAAAAAAAATGGTTAATACCACTTATGTCAATTATGCTTGATGTTTTAATATCGGATGTTAGTTCAAACGATTTACACGTAAGCTCTCAAAAAAACTTGATACAAAATATCTTTCTGACTCTACGCAAGAGTTAGATGATGTAAAAGGAATATTATTTGGTGATTTTCAATGACTTTTTGGTGCCATGACATTAGAAATAAAAGGAAAGATCAAAAACATTCACTTTCTAGTTGATACAGGTTCCCCAAGAACTTATGTATGTGAAGAAGTATTAAAATCATATAACCTGCTGTTTATTACCGACCCAGTGACTCTTTTCCTGTGAGATTTAATAAAAGACAGATCTCGGTAAAGGTATCACATGATCACTTCAGCAAACTAAATATCCTCAGTACAGACTTTCTACATACAAATAAAGTACAACTATTCGTAGATTTCAAAGGAAAGTATTTACTATCAAATTTAAATCTTCAGGTAGTATCGATAACAGCGAACGCACACCTAAAAGAGGGTTGTTTGGTATCGAGGATGTGGCTGTGGCCATGGCTGTGGTTGGTTGAGGTTATCATCCAAATGATGAAAATCGACAAAATTATATTATAAAAACTGGAAAACCATCTAAAACTGTTGTTTTCGTTGTAAATCTTCCTTTTCTATTGATGATGATGGTTTGAACAAAGATTATAATGTAATTCATCATCGTGTAGATGGATGCTCAAAGGATTTGGGATTTGTAGAATTAATTGAGTGATGAAGGAGAACAAAAGAAAACTCTTAAAGGATTAAAAAATGTTTACTAACTAGTACTCTACCTTCTGATTCAAGTTGCAAATGGCGGTGATACTGAAAAAAGAAAGAAGCTTCTTAAAATTCTTCATGAGGTACAATAGCTTTTATTCTCAGTAGCTTATTTCTGAAATAATAACTAATAGTCGCTATAATAGCTTCTAATGAAATGAGTGTAATGTTAATAGCAAGGAATTTAAAAATCATAAAAGTTGTATCATGATTTATTTTGTATTCAAGCAAATAAAAAGTAATTCAGTATCTTCGCATATGTGCACAATTGAAAGGACAAATCGGACAAAAGTTTATTTATTATTTTTTAGAAAAAAAATGAAAAAAATTGGAATAGCAGGTTACAAGGGAGAAATTTCTCAACCCTATGTGACAATAAATTACATATTGTATATTATAAAAAATTTTATACTATTTTATTTATATAAAATATATATTATAAGATTTTCTTGAAAAAAATTGTAATTTATTAATATTTTGAATTCTACGAGTTTGAGTTTAATCAATTTTAATGTTTTAGGATTACATATTTTTTAATATAATTAATAAATTTATTTAATAAAAAAAATTTGTTAAGTCTGGAAAATTTAATGTTTAATTATAACATAATTATAACAATTTTATGTCACTAGTGACGCGCGTCAGGTATCAATCTATATCTGACGTACTACGTCGCTGCATCTGACGCACAACATATATATAGATAAATTTCATATATTTCTTTTTTTTTTCTTATTTTTCAGACGAAGTTTTTACTACAAACACAAACTTATCTTTTACTACAAAAACATATTTTATTACCCCTAATTTGATCGAAAATTTCCTTGAATCGAGTCCAGACAGATAAGCTGATGCCTTTGAAGGATATTTTACTTGTATCTACAATATTGAATTAAAAATATATTAGTAAAAATCGTGGATGAATATGGAATATAAATTTATCTCCCCTTAAGTTGTCATCAGCCATATGAATAAAGTTCTTATGCAAAAAAAAATTCACTCATGCAAATATTATTCATTATGACACGTAACACATAATATTAATGTGGCAATACATCTAAGAATTGTTGTTAATTTTGCCCTGTGCTTAAGGTCATTATCCTGATGGAATGACCATCTTCTTCCAAGGATTCTTGTAGCACTAGTAAAAGAGTTTTTAGTTAAAATATCACGATAAAGTTCTCTATCCACATTTTTAGTAAAGCAATGAAATCCATAATTCCGCGTGTACATGAACTTTGAGCGGATGTTTTACAACTGCGCACTGCGCTTTTTTTCTCAAATCTTATATATCTTACCAGTGTTGTATTACGCGTATTCGTATTACGAAACAATTAAAAGTGGTTTCATCATAAAAAATGACATTTTCCCATTTTTCATTAAGGTGAGATTTCGCGTTCTTTAGTGGCGGTGGTTAACATTGATATTGAGGTTGGTATGCAAACACGATAACCTGAATTAAAAAGGTTCACCCGAATGGTTCTAGGAGAAATATTAAGGTTCGAATATGTTTTAGTGAAGTGTAAAAGCAATTTCCTTACTAGTTGCACATTTTCTTGTACTGGTCAATTTTCCGAGGTGAGCGCTGTTTCTTTGGAGTTAAAAAGTTTTGGCCTACTTTAACGTGGTTTTATTTTAATAGTACCAGATTTTTTTAATTTTCGAACATAAACATACAGAGTAGACTTCGGAATGTGTGTTATTTCATGTAATTGAGAAACATTCCGAATCCAATTTGTCCAAATGAAAATTAGAAAAAATGAATTGACGTATTTAACGTTTTAAATATAATTGAATTTAACAATATAGAAAGAATTGATAGCAGAAGAAATTCACGAAACTTTTAAAAAAGCCAATTTGAAAAATCAAAAAATTGCCATCAGAAATGACAAAAATGTGTTATTTAAAATACAAAAAAAAAATTTTTTTAAGAATTTAATTCTTTTCCACATCCTTTTCGTGTAATTATTTAGTCTATTATAATTTTCTTTGTCCCAAAATATGTCAAATATTTTTATAGTTCATGATAAATGTTACTTTGTTGATCGTAAAAGTTTACGAGGATTAACGAGAAACGCAAAAATATAAACCAAATTTCTGACTAACGAGAAAAATATTTATATAGTATATAATCTTCTTTTCTAAGAAAAAATTGCAAAACATTTTTTTTTTATTTGGAAAAATATTTTGATCCAAGCAAAATTATAATCTATCTCTTAATATTTCCTTTAAAAAAAAAATTATCTATAATTTTATTTTATTTTTTAGCTTCATAACTTTGATTTGTTTCAGTATTTTTAATAAATGAAAAGAAATTGAGAAAGGAATAAATACAAATTACAATATCTATAAATTATTTCCTACGAAAAAAAATTGCGCATGAAAAATAAACGTCTGTACTCCGTACAATAATTAATATAATTCCAAACAATAAAATAATAAGATTATTATAAGTATAAATTATTTCTTGATGTTTTTTGACACAAAATATTTATCAATCGTATATTTATCCATTATTATTATTATTGACAAAATGTTCAAAGTGATCAAATAAACTTCTTTTGAAAACATTTAACTATAAACATATCCATTGTGCTGTAGTCGTAAACAATTTATTACAATGGGAGTTTTTCTCACGATGAAATTTTCATAGAATTCATATAAATTTCATCATAATTTCACATAAGTATATACCATCTATATAAGACTATGCTTAATTAGCTTGTTACTTGGTTGTATATTGCGTCACTACTGCGCTCATTCAACAATACACATAATTCGTAATAACCTTTTTGCAGATGTTTTTTAATATAATTTGTAAAATTACAATTACAAAACTCCATTGTTCATAATTCACCACTCATTATTGCAATTAAAAATTAGGCAAAATGAAGCAAAATTTTATGATGAACTTTAAAAACATCTTTATTATTTGAAAAAAAATCTACTAATTTAAAAGGTTTTAATTTAAATAAATGATAAAATGAAACAAAAAAAGCGTGTAAATACAGTAACTATAGTATTTCTAACTTAACCTTAAACTCCGCTGCCATAAATAATTCCAATCTTGAACAAAAATAAACTCCAATTTAAAATTGCTGATTTTTTACTTTCATCACTTATTTTCTTCATCTTCAACTGGTTTGGAAAAACATTCAACAAAATTTTCCTTTGTTAAAATGTGACCGATTAAAAGGCGTTCCTTTTCTTTGTTATTATCAAATTTTAAATCTTTATAATTTGTAAATAGAATACAAATATTTAAACCTATGTTAATTCCATCATCTAGATTAAATTGAGATGAATTGGTTATTTGAAAATCAAGAGAATTATTTGACCATTTAACTAACTCAAAAATACTATCAGGTTCATAATTTGCTGGTGAATCATATGCATGTGCAAAAATACTATATTCTTCAGACAAAGTAAAAGATGTTTTAATAAAATAATTTAATTGATTACTTTGTAATTTGATTGATTCCTTAAAATAATTAACTTGAAGATCTCGATTATTTGGACTAAAAACTGTTAGTTGTGAGGGTTTCCCAACGATCATCCACGAAACATAACATTCTTTTAAGTCTATATTTGATACTTTTGATTTTTTTATTATCGCATAAAATCCATTAAAATCATATAATCCAAAATTAACATAAACGTTATCCAATCTTACATTATTTTCTGAAATAATTGATCCAAATACTTCATAATTTTTGTCCTCTAATGAAATTTCTAAATCAATACATTTATAATGTAAAACATTATCATTATCTAAATCTTTCAAATCAGTAATTCCTGTCATTATAATTCTATTATGATCATTAAATTTATTTAATATATCTTCAATTTTTTTTTGTTGTTCCATTTTGAGAATTTTATAGAGAGGAATAATATTATCAAACTCAATAATCTCCAAATTATTTTTCGTATCATCAATCCATTGAGATAAATTCTCTTTTTTAACACTTTTTCCTTTTTGTGTTAAAAGGTATGAAACATTTAAATTATCCAATAATTTAAGTATTTCGTCAACATCATTAACTTTTTCAAATGTATTATTTAAAGAAGAATTTGGTAAAATAATTTTTAAAGATCTTCCTAAAATAATTCTTTGTGGAAATAATTGACCATATTCGTTAAATATACATTGTAATTCTTTTAACGGGTTCATACTTTCAAGTGCTTTCTCTATGGCTTGTTCAAATTCTTCCGTAGGGTTTACATTATTTACATCTAAAAGAATTTCATAACGTTCACATTTGACTAGAATACTATTGAAATCTTCATAACATTCAACATTACTTTTTATAAATGGGATCAAAATTTTTAATTGAATAAATTTTACTAGAAATTAAACTAAATTCCAATTTCGTTGATGGTTTAATTATTTTCAAATAAGATTTATCACTTAAATTAATTTTAGGAATTTCGGTAAAACTAATAACAATTTCCTTGCTAATTTCTATTTTATAATTTTGATTAGTCATTAATCCATAAAATAAACGAAAGTCTATAATCCAACTTATTAGGTTGTCATATGCCGCCTTTCCAACCCAATCTTTTAAACTTAATTTTTCTTTGATCTGTATGTTATAATAATTTTTAATAGAATCCAATGTGCCGTTTCTTAATTGAGAGGTAGAGATTAAATTACCATAAGAAATTATGTCAATTATTTCTCCCCGGAATAAAGTATTTATCCAATTGATTAATTCTTTATCCAATGTATTCTGCGGATACAAAATTTTCATCCATTCGATCAATTTATCATAAGTATCTAACTTTGCCTTATCCAATATTTCCATTTTTGGTAAAGTATTCAAGGCAAATAAATCATTAAATTGAGTTTCTATGGAATATTTAACTTTATTATATGCTTGGAATAAATAAAATTTTAAAATATCCATTTGATTGAATCTTTACTTTTTATAAATAATTTACTACCAATTAAAATTTTTCTCGCAAAGAAATGACCATACAATTTACGTAAATTTTCATCATCATTTGTATATTTTGAAAAAGCTTTTGACAAATGACCTTTATAAGTGATTTCGGCAATTGGAAAATTAATGCACAACTCTGTTGAGTTACTAAAATCGGAATTATTTAAATCAAAATATAATATTATCGGTTGTCCATTATACAAACTTATACTTAATTCACCATCATCTATCAAAATAGCTTGTTCACTCGATTGCCCATGATATAAACTTATATTCAACTCATCATCTTCCATAAATATATCTCGTTTGATCAGTTGCTTCATCTCCCACATTATTAGCTTGTTCACTTGGTTGCTCATCCAAGTGTAAACCATAATTCAATTTTAGCCGTTCAATCACTTGTTGTTTAACTATTTTTGTATAATTATATTTAGGAAAGTTGGTAACTATAGGAAGCCTAACAATAATAGTTAATAGTAATATTATTGTAATAAAGATTAATATAATTATTACAAACAAAATAAATATATTATTAAATAGAAATATAAATACCTGGTATATATCGGATCAAAGAATGCATATTTCATACTATCACTTGATTTAGGCAATGTTTTATATTCACGATATCCATAACTTTTAATAAATTTAATTTTAATGTTATTGGCTTTTTGTTTAAAAAAAACTTTTCCATGATCAGTTTAAACTAATAAATTTTGGAATAATGTGATAGCGTTTTCTAAGTGATAAATGTTTAAAGGGAACTATGCCGGATATGTTTAAGTCATTACATTTTAAGATAAGTGTATAGAAAGTAAAGTTAGGTAGTTTTGCATAGCATTTTTTTTCTAAGCAGTAAGAGTATATATTTACTGCAATTTTATCCTCTTTTTGGGCATTATAAAAATGATGCCCAATAACAAGGGATCTGTTGGAAGAATCCAACTTACTTAATACAGGAATTCCTAAACAAATAGGAATAGGATCACATGGATAGTCTAATAATAATTGAGTCATTTCTTGATTATTTGATGCAAAATCATTTCTTAGAACTTTCAATTGAATATCAGAATCTAGAAGTAAAGAACTTAAATCTGTACAATGTCCAATTATCATCCATCCAATTTTCAACTTGCATTGACGTATTTTAAATTTTTTTTGAATACAATGAATTATAAGTCTTGGTTCTCCATCTGATTGATAGAGAACTTGATAAGTAAAGAAATCTTTCTCTCTCACATCAATAACAGTTGCAAAAATATTACACTCTTATTTGTTTTGAATAATTTTTAATATATTTGATGGCATATTAAATTTAAAGATTTTTGTTTGTCCAGCTCCCAAATCATAACAAAATTCTTCAGCAGCTATATAAAACAAAAGTTATACTGATTCGTCTACGCAAATCAATAGGCAGAAGTTGAAAAATGCTAACAGGGTTGTGAAATTCTATAGGTTCCCAATTTCTATAATCTTTTAAAGTTTTAAACCAAGCTATTTCATCAAAATTTTCATTGTCAGGCTGTTTTCCTCCAATTATTTTCGTGTAATTATATTTATAAGAAGTTGATTTTCCTTTTAAATAATTAGAAATAGTAAGATAACCAGATGTTATATTTTTACCAAAAAGAACTCTACCACCTAAAATAACTTTTCCCGGAATAAATTGTCCATATTCTTTAGTTATTTGCTTAAATTCTTCAGAAGGATTTTCAGATTCTATGGATCTTTTACTACTTTAATAAATTCTTGAGTTGGTTCTAAATATTTAGTAAATTCTAAAGACATTTTAGCACATTCTATAAAATAATAAGAACCACTTTCAAAATTTAATTTTTCATTTTTTAAACTCCCAATTGACATTCCTAATTTAATAAAATTATTCACACTAATATCATTAGTATGGAAAAACAAATTTATTATCTTTATCCGCTCTTCTATTGACTTAAATTCGACAGAATCTTTAATATATCCCATAGAACTATTAATTAATTCACAATTTTTCATTACAAACGCTCTATTTTTTGGTTTTTCAATTCCATCAAAAGTCATGATACATCCATAATCTAATTTATGCAACGTATTTAAATATTCCCAGTTAGGTATTGAGCAATGTTTTAAATATAAAATATTTTCACTTTCAATTTTATATATAATATCATATAAACGGAATTTATCTTCATGTATTATTTCAGCAAATTCATGGTCAAGCTTTTTTGAAAATGATAATGTATCATTAATGATACAATCCTTTTCAAGTTTTTTTCGAATTGATAATAAATTATCTGAAAGATTTAAACGAATAAATTTAGGTGTTGGGTCAGTTGGATCACCTATAGTCTTTACTATTACGTCAACAATATCAACATGATTATTATTAGAAAAAATATTTTTAAGGTCGGAATCCATTTTTATAATAATAAAGTTTGTTTCAGGATCAATATTATTTATAAGGTTTTTATTTTTATTTGATCGCACTTTTTGGGCAATCCTTTTGTTGATACATTGATAACTTTGGTTAGCCTTTGGCTAATAATTGCCTTATGACCTTGTGCCACTATTTATCGTATTCTGCATGATCAATAAAGCATTTTTTTTACGTTCCGGTCATTCCGGTCGTTCTGGCGTTCCGGCGTTCCGCTCTTACTTATTAATTCATTTCCAATGATATAAGAATGTATAAGGAAAAAACATATAAAATGTCATGGAAATTAGTGAATTTAGTGAAATAAAAGAAATAAATAGATAAAATATATAAAGAAAATTAGAATAAAATGAAAAAATTTTTATCCCTTAAACTGTTTTGCAGCCAAATTTGCCTGCAATTTTGTTTTTTAATTAAAGACACTTAAATATCTTAAAATATTTTATTACATAAACCAATATTTTTATAATAAATTCTATAGTATTTTCTAAGTAAAATCGAAAAAAAAGTTCAATTTGATTAATGATTTTTTAAAAGTAAATGATCGACAAATTATAACAAATAGTAGCTAAATTTTTCAAATTGAAATATCTTTTTATCTATTAAAACAGCTCTGTTTAGTATCTTGGAATATTTAAATAAACGTTATCACGAAGATATAATAAAAAATTCTGGTGTTGCATATAAAGGAAATTTCTTTCTTTAATAGGCTTAGCGTTACATAATTATTATCGTTACAATTATTATTTATTCTACTGTATCTTTAATTCCAATTATCTTAAAGAGCGTGCTGTATAAAAAAATAAACAATAAATTATTACATCATAAATCACGTGTATAATTGTTAAGTGATGGCCTAGTATAATTTACCTAAAATTTAGGATCAATTGTAATAAATGAATTTAAGAAATATCATATGTAAAAACTAGTTTATGATGGTGAACCATAAGATTAATTTATATATTATAGTACTATATAACACATAATAATTTTTATAATTTATTATGCACCTTTTTTTTTATCATATCAAAAATCGATAATTTGCTAGTTACTCTTGCTTATTTTTTTTTTCTATTTAGCTTGTTAGAAAATTAATATATTATTTGTTTTCCAAACGTAATACTACTTGTTTTACTAGTTACTAGTACTGTATAAAGAAAATGTTTATGTAAGTACATATATATTTTTTTATGTCATGATAATATAGCGCAAATAATAACTAGAGCAGTTGAGCTTAATAAATAATTATTCGTTTTCTTCATTTTTTTTTTCTTTAGGTTCGGTCAGGGATCTGCATATGATACAGAAGTAACTCAGAATTTTTACCTTCTTTTTTTAGCAATAATTGATTACTAATCAGTTTGTCTTTCAATTAATACTATAAATTTTATTTTTTCAGAACATTAAATCTAGTTGTTAAAGCTTACTGTCATAATTTACAGTATCTTTAAGCGTAACTACTTTTGACGTTATTAAATTATTATATTTTTGAATTTTAAGAAAATATTTAGTATGTCATTAAATACAAAATTGTTTTAAAAATAAAATTTCATATTATTAAAAAAAAATTATGTTAAAATAGATGGAAATTTTAATAATTTATTGTTTTTGTCATAATAATTATTTTTTTTTATATTTACAATCAGATTGAAATTTTTTTATAATTATTAATTACTTTAATGATGAATTATATTATAACTGAATTCCATTTGTTAATACGAATTTCCTTCATATAATAATGGTAAAATATTTCTTTTAGTTTTATATAGAATTTAAAACAAACTAAACTAATTGGATAATACATTTTTTTGATCTAACAATTTTAACACGATTCTAATTATCATAAGTTGTTACTGATAATGATATTGATTGACTGTACTATTATATTTTTCAAAATTTCAATAAAGTACCTATACTGTAGTATAATTTTACTAACAAATAATATTTTGGTGTTGGTTGTTGGATGAGTGGATGATCGACAAAGCTTTTTTTTTTTTGTGAAACAAGTATTTTGTTTGGGATTTAGGAAATTTCTTGCTTAAATGATCTGTGATTTCTGTGAAAATCAGCTGACTTCTTGAACACTTTATTGTTTTGACCTAAATAAAAATAAAATTTTGTCAATCGCTGCTGTGCAACTGTAATACGTTTTAAAAAGACGCCTTTTTTTTTAAAAAAACAAAAAAATCTTTTTTATTCTGTCTAGACATAAAATTGAAATCACATTTATTAATCCAATATGGAAGGATTTATGCTTACTGATGATGTATTTGAGCAAATAAAAGATTTTTACCATTGGCAACTAACTGAAGAACTAAATTTGTTAATTAATAAGTTAATACTAAATGAATAATTGAAAGAACGTTATAAAAAAAATGGTTTATGCAAAGAATGTAAGCATCTTAATACTGGTGCTTATTGGTAATGCTAAGCATTTTCAACAAAATTTCAAAAATTGGACTAGTGGAAATCATGAAGTTGATAAGTTAATTCAAAAAACACAACTTAAAGCCAAAGTAAGTCATGAAATGTTGGTGTGGATTGAATATGATAGATTTGAAAATATTGAATTCTTGATAAAAGGAGGATTTTGAACTATTTATAAAGCAATTTGGAAAGATGGATTTATAACAAATTGGGATTTTGAGAATAATAATTGCCTGGGTAAGAAGTAAAGCTTATTGTAGGGTATATGAGAATTTTCCAGTTGTTTTAAAATGTTTACATAATTCTCAAGATATTACATCCGATTTTTTAAGAGAAGTAAGTTTACTTATTTTGTATATAATTTTAAGATATTGTCCTATTATAAATATTAAACTATCTATTAATTTTTATTATGGATTCTTTTTTAGATTGAAACACATATGATTTTGTCAGAACATATAATTTTTACTATAGCATGGTGTTATGGCATTACTATAGATCCAGAATCTAAAAATTTTATGATAGTAATGGGATATGCAAATGATGGTAGTTTAAGACAATATTTAAATAATAGTTTTAATTCAACAAAATGGGAACGAAAAGTTGAATATTTTACAAAAAATTGCACAAGGCCTCGATAATATTCATCAAAAAGGGTTAATTCATTTAATTCATCGTGATTTTCATTGTGGTAATATATTAAGAAGCAGCGGATTTATTTTAATTACTGATTTAGGATTATGTCGACCAGTAAATGTAAAATCATCCCAAAATGAATGTAAAGAACTATATGGAGTATTACCCTATGTAGCACCAGAAGTTTTAAGAGGAAAAGGATACACTCAAGAAAGCGATATTTATGGATTTGGAATTATTGCATATGAAGTCTGTACAGGGCTTCCTCCTTATCATGATATTACTCATGATAAATTCTTAGCTATTAGCATTTGTCAAGGACTTAGGCCAAAATCAAATTATAAAATTCCCAATTAATTTTAAACATAATTAAACAATGTTGGGATGCTGATCCTTTAAAACGACCTAAATCAAATGAATTACATGGTTTATTATATGGTTTATATTCTTCAAGTGAAAATCATGAAATCAATAAGCAAATTGAAGAAGCAGACAAAATTAATGAAAAGTTGACATCATCATCATCATTATATACTGGTCCTACTCTTTCATATACTACAAATCCTCAAGCGGTTTTTACGAGTAGGCTTTTAGATTTTAAAAATCTTCCAGAACCAAAAAATGCTATTGATAACAAGGATGATGACAATTCATTTGGAGAATATTCAGGTAATTAATTTCCTAATTTACTTTACAAAAGCATTCTTTAAATATTTTATTTGATGTAAATAATTATTTTTATTTTATATTATAGAATCAATAGAAGCAATAGATTTTACTAAACTAGACCTAGGTACTTATATACATTAACCTTTTATTTGATTTATTTTATTAATAATATTATTTAATAATTTATTTTTCACTTATAGATAAAAGCAACTGATATTGTATCTATAAATGTGCCTATATACTGTAAAATGTTTAATTAATATCTTTCAAAAAAAATTTTATTTATTGTGGAAAATTGATATAACAAGATATAACGGAATTAGAGGTGCCAGAATTATTGAAACTGTTAATAGCAGTTGATGAACTTAATATTCAGTCTCATAATCCCTCATATTGAAAAATATTTAATTAAACATCAATACAAGTTTTTACAACAATATCCTATATGAATTCTTGAAAAAATTTATCAAATGAATCTTTTACAAGTTTATTGAATTATTGTCTTAATAAAATTTGTGAAGAAACCTGAAATATTATTTAGTACTGACAAGTTTATCAACTTAAAGGTACCTATAATTGAATTGCTTATAAAATGGGATGATTTATGTTTAGAAGAAATTGAAATATGGATAACTTATTAAAAACCTCTTTGATTTTCTTTATTATAATTAACATAATAAACGTTAGAATTAGCAATTATATGAGTGAAAATAAATTAATGTTTTACCTAAATTAACTTTCATCCTTACCCTAAACTAGGAAAACGGAAACCATTGAGAGCCCGTCGCTTAATACGCTTAAACGCTTAATAGTAACAATAATCTACATATATATATAAATGGTTACAAAAATGTGACAAAGTGTTACAAAATGTGTTGCTAAAAATAAAGCGTTACAAAAAATGTGATACAAAACATAAAAGGAAATAAGCAGGGGCTAAATTATAGTGATGTAGGTGGAAGGAAGGAAAATGCATGGGTTAAACCGGTACTACAAATTTATCTAGTTCCGTACAATAAATAGTCCTTCGCTACGCTCCGGACAACTAATTCTTAGCCCTAAGTTAATGTATTGAAAGTAAAAAAATAAGACTAACATTTTTCCTAAATCTGACATAAAAAAAAAAAGTAAATACTAGTAACTAATACATTATCCTACTAATCCTAACCCTAATTCTAAATCCTAACCCTAACCTCAAAATTATATAAAATAGTGGAATTTTTAACAGTAAACGCAGTTTTATCATTCCAACTAAGTTCATCAAAATGATTATTTAAATATTTGTTTAATGTGACACTATCTGCATATTCTAAACTAACAATTTTTTCATTTATTGCATTTCGTCTGAAAACATATAAGATAAAAATAAATTGTCGTATTAGAAAGAAAAGGTAATATATTTTGCCGATTTTTACATTTGTGATACTGTAACACTAGTGCCCGTGATAAATCACGTTGCCACCACTAGCTACACAAAATAATTCCTTAATTAATAGGTATCATAAAATAATATATGATGAAATTAAATATGTAAAATTCATTAATAAATCCCAAATCCATAATAAAATTCTAACCCCATTAGATTTCCCACTAACAAAATTATACTAATAAAATTTAAACCATAAAACTGCGATAATTTCCCATATTATCATTATTTCCATTGATTAATGTGGCAAACTTTTCACAATAAGAAAAGTGCGAAAAGAATCGGAAAATAAAAATAAAGTGATAAAACTAAAAAAAAGATAATTAATTAACCCTCAAAATCTTTTAAATTTATCCTCATTAAATTCTTCAAATTCCATCACTAATATAATCCTTAAAGTTCTTTTAATCTACTTCCATTGTAATCCTTTAAATAGATGATCAACATTTCATACTTAAATGATCTTCATCTCCGATCCCTTTTGTTATAATAAACTTCCATTACATTAATTACTTTCCTTTGTAACAATGAATCTCATTCTATAACCAAAACTAAACAAATAAACAAATAAAATTTTCATAGTTTTAACGTCATTTGCGGACCAGTAATCAAGATAAAATAAAATAAAATTTATATACTAAGATTAAATATAATACATAAATTATTTTTAATTTTATTCGAATTTCTCTTTAATAATTTACTTATGAGTTTGTTTGTCATTATTAAAGCGAAAAAAGAGTAGCGTTTTTCCAAGTAGCACGAGATATGAGCCTTTTTCTATCGGTTATATATTTTTAAAGTTCGAATATTCATAATATTCAGACATTAATTTTTCAAAATTATTAATTTTACAAACTAAAGAAGCGATTTAAGGGATTTTTAAAAGTTATTACAAATTATTTTGTAATACCAAAAAATCATCTGACAAATGATCACTTGCACGTTTGCCTTTTTATCTTTAATAATATAGAAATTAAAATAAAAGTTTATACAAGTTTAATGGTCATAAATTTTTAAAAAGTATTCAAGGGCCAATAAATATCATTTAAAGTTTTAATTTGATTGGTTTAATTAAATATATATATATATATATATATATATTTTTTTTAATTTTTTTCTTTTAAAAAAAGATATCTAAGTTTTATTTTCCTTGCTAAACGGGATTCATGAAATAGTACGAATTTCGTACGAATACGACTGTAATACTAAGATTATAATGCACCCTATATAAAGAAAGCGATATAACTATTCAATGCCGCTTAATACAACAGTCTGTCGTGCCCTAGGAAGCTGGGATATCTAACATGTTCTGCACTTCTGCACAAACATGACTGACATCCGACGACCAAGAGAAGGACGAATGGCAAGCCCAGCCAATATAGAAAACCACTTGAAGGAAAAAGGGAGGGAGGGAAGAAATATACCTAAAAAACCAACAAAGAAAATGAAAAAGTCTATAAATTTTATCTAGTATTAATCATCAAAATGCATAATCAAATGCATAGTACATGTACAATTGTACACACGGATACACCTCTATTTCATGGTCAGCAACAATTCGCTAATATTTTGTCCTTGTCGATGGGAACCATCGTATACCACTATTAGATGATTTAGACTTATGGGATGAGTTCTTATTGCTTTTAATTGTAGTAGAGCCTTCCTTGTCATTACTTTGAGATGACTATTTCAAAGAGTTTGACGTCGTCTTCCTATTTTTATTGGCATAAAGAGGAATGACACGAGATTAATAATTTTGAACATAAAGGGAGTTTCTAATGCATAATTAATACCTTCGATACCTTATGGTGATCCGTTGTGGTAACAGTTTTATAGCTGAAAATTCAGACATGACCTCGCGAGATTTTCCCTATCTCAGAGTCGCGCTTTGTGCATCGTATCGGGTACTAAGTTGATTTAGAACTTTTCTCTATTTTTCCTTTGCGGAAGAGCCCACTTCCTGGGGACCAACGTACGTGTACACTATTCAGTGTATAAGACCAAAGTCCCGATCAACGCTTTTCGCATTTTCGCCTTTTCGCGTAGAATTGCTACAGTGAATGGTTGATTTTGCGGCCTTACATTAGTGTTAGATCCCGTTTCACGATCGCTCTTAGGCAGTTTGTATTATTGTATGGATTTTACTTTGATAAAAATAAATACTATGATAAACGTGTCTCAACATTTACGATTACTAGAAGATCTTACGTTATTGTGGGCGCAGTTCCTAAATCGAAAATATCATGGTCATGTGAAATAAATTTGATTGGGCCATTTAGTCGTTATTCTTCGTCAGTAATACTTTAAATCAATCGCTCTCAATTATTACTTTTAGTTTTCTAGTACAAACTTCGGAATCCAATTGAAAAAGATTATTCTTTTACTCGTCACTTGTGAACAACATAGTTTTTAATAGCAAAATATTAATATGACACACTTCTTCGACCATTACTTTTAACTTAGACAAATGATCTTGTTCTGTCGTAAGAAATACTAAATAGCTACTTTTGAAAACCTTAATCCTGTACTGTAATTTTAATCCAAAGACAAAAATACATCTGAAAAAAAAAATAAGTACCGAAAAAAATTCTGAAAAAAAGGACAGTAATTCCTGTCTCTTATACACATCTAGATGTGTATAAGAGACAGACACTAGGATTATTTAATAAAAAAAAAAAAATTTTCAGTTTGGAAAAAAAAGTAAACGTAAATGGGAAAAAATAAATTTCTCGATTTGAAAAAAAATTAAACCGAAAGAAAAGGGAGAAAAATTTTTTTCCGTTTGAAAAAAATGAAATCAAAAAAAAGCTAAAAATATTTGAATTAATAATCAAAAAAAAAATTCCGATTAAGGTAAAATTTCATTAACTGAAATCAGGCGGAAGCATGTTATGTCATGGGCTTTAATTATGGGATTTTCTAGATTTAATTAAAATTCGTTAATAATAACCAAAAAGGTAGTTTTGGTCTTTACGGTAAAAACTGAAGAAATAAAAAAAAAATTATTATTATAAAAATGGTTAGTCGTGATAATTAAGAAGAGCAGAATGACCGCAAATAAAATGCAATTAATAAGAAAAATTATACCCTTTTTGTTAGTATTAATCCATCAGAATAAAAAAAATCCAGGTTTAAAGATTGGTTATCGTAAATAGATCTGACGCTGTGACGCACCTTTTCAATGTTACACAATTCAAATTATTTATACAGGGTAATCTAAATATGACAATTTTTTTAATTAGATAGATTGTGAATAAAAATATAATATTATAGTTAAACAAGTTATTTATTGCCTTAAAATAATTTTAAGAAATGTTTGATTTTTCTAAAACAACCTTTTTCTTTGCCAAGACATTGTTAAACAGAAAGGATTAACTTTAATGATCTGCTATTCGTATATACAATGATATGAAGGGTCTTTATGTTCACATATAAGTAGTGGATCATCAAAAACACCTGAAACGTATTTAGAACTCCGATATGGGAACCTCCTGATAGATTCACAAATCTGCTTTAATGAAATAGGAAAAGTTTAATTTCATTTATTTATTGAATAACATTTCTATTATGATTTTTATCGAAGATCAAAATAATTTATAAAATTTTGTTGCCTTCCAGGTTTAATCATCGGAAGTATGATTCCGATTTAAACCCGTTATAAAAAAAACAAAATTGCCTCCTTAATTTTTTTAAAAAATGATGTCTCTTCGACCTTTTTATAATACCTTGATCTTACTTTTATTATCTTTTTTAATATACTCATATTTTACTAAAATAATTTTAGTTCTAGTAATTAACAGTGTATTCACATTAGACGTATTACCTTTGATTAAAAAAAAATGGCAAGAAAATGCTTTAATGGCATTAGTTTTACAATTAATGGGAAATGAATTGCTAAAGGAAATAACTTTCCTATTAATGTTAAGTTATTTGATGATAAGAAATATATTAAAATCAAAAAAGGGGGAAAGTATACGGGAAGGAATAGTTTTATCAATAATAATTGTCCTATTAATGGACAGAATCTTTTTGATAAATATGATAAAAAAAATATGGCAAGAAAGAGTTTTAATAACGATAGTTGTAAAATTAATGGAGAATAGATTGTTTAAAGACATGTTTTTATTCATCATATATATTCGTCTGCAGACAAGAATTATTTTCTCATCAGTTAGAAGAAAAAGTGCATGGAAAGAAATAATTTTAGCAATAATAATTTTCATATTAGTGGAGAGAAATTTTTTGATAACTACGATTGCACCAATGATAATTGTTAATTTTTCAATTAAAATTATGCCAAAATTATCACTGGAATTCAGTCAAAAAGAAAGCTATGCTCATATAATAGTGACTAACCTGTTACGAATAAGTAATATATGGATAGAATTGAGACTAATAATAATAATAATAATACACCTTTTAATAATAATAATATATTTTTTAATAAAAATTTATTTGAGAAATTTAAGAATACGAAGAATGATAACAATGGATCGTGATTTAAACATAGACGAAAGAAAAGAAAAGTATAGAAGTCGTGAGGTAATTTGTGAAAAAAATTGGAAACACGTTATTAATCATTATCATTGTATGGATTGTTTAGATGAGGAAACCGACGATAAAGAAAAAGCTCATCTACGATATGGGATATGCAAAGAGTGTTCTCAACCTAATACGGGAAGTATTATTTGGTGTTCTTTTTGCAACATAAAATATCTTCAACAAGACTTTGATAAGTGGACTAGTGAAAACGAAGATATTGATGAATTAATTAAAAATAGTCAACTTAAAGCATCGAGTACAAATGGTATAATAGAATGGATACCTTATAACAAATTTACTAATATTAAATATGTAGCTACCGGAGGTTTTGCTAAGGTGTATTCAGCCAATTGGATCGATGGATACATTAGGGGTTGGGATCTTGAAACTAAAAACTGGAAAAGAAAAAAGCAAAAGAAAGTTGCTTTAAAAGAATTGAATGGTTCTTCTAAAGACATAAGTAAAGGATTTCTTAATGAAGTAAGTAAAAGAAAACAAAAGGGAAATCTTAATTTAATTATTTATTGATCATGTCTTTTTTTATTAGTTAAAAACATTGGTAAAATTGCTTGAACTTAATCCTTTTATAGTACCACTATACGGCATTTCACAACATCCTGACACTAAGAATTTCATATTAGTATTTAAATATATAGATAATAATTTTCATAATATTCAAGGGTTCACTCCATCAGAAATACTTGAATCAAGATTAATAAATATTTGTATAAGTCTTAAGTTAATTCACTTAAATAATTTAGTTCATAGAGATTTGCACCTAGGTAACATTTTGCAAGATGATAAAAATACATATATAAGTGATTTTGGATTATGTAGGCCGGCAAATGAAATGAACGATCAAAATATTTATGGGGTATTGCCATATATAGCACCTGAAGTATTACGTAGAAAACCATATAATCTGACATTTATTCGTTGGGGATTATTATCAATACACTCATTTCTGGAAAAAAACCATTTAAAGATCGATTATATGATCGTTTTCTTATGATAGAAATTTGCCGTGATGGAAAACGTCCAGAAATTCGAGCTGAAATTCCATTAATTTTAAAAGATTTAATTCAAAAATGTTGGGATGAAATTCCAGAAAACCGTCCAACAATTGAGGAAATCATTGATGTTTTAACCTCTGAAGAATTATTTTATAAACTTTTAAATTTGCGCTTGGATTTGGCCGCACTTCCGTCATCATCAAGCGATACAAAACGACTTCTTGATGTACCAGATTCATCAGAACTAGAACCGATGCCAACAACGCAAATAGCAACAGGTACTGCAATCTATTCTAATATACATATTATTGCATATTGTTTATTTAATTTACTAAAAATTTATTTGAATTTGTATTCTTATTTGTATTTAGATGTGGTGGACAGCTAGGTATAGTTTATTTCAGCGGCAGTTTTAGTGTTCATCGTTTTTGTACTAGGTGGTGCGATGTTCCCTGAATGGGCTTATAATAAACAAATGAATATTTTTTTTTTACATTTTTGGAGACTTTAAATAAAAATGATCTAACGTTAATTGGAGTGATCGATAAATTTATCCCGTAATTGGAATATGTACATCATTATACCAAAAAAAACAACTACGTTAATTTTTTTTTTTTACTATTTTTACGTTCAAAGTTTTAATATTCAATGGAATTTCTTATAAAATATCAGTATAGAATCTCCTACGATCCAACCTTTAATTGATTTATCATCTTCGCTATATGTAACAACATATTTACCGTTAGGAGATAAAGATACTGAAGATATTTGTTTTCCATTGTGCGCGTTACGCGGGTCGCGTGGGTTGTGCGGCACAATATAATCATTATCAATGTTACTTGCTCTTGTTCCAAAGATGGACTGACTTACTAACCCATAAAAATGTTGATCCGTGTTTTATATTTCCCATGTTTTTTCCGTGAATGTATCATTTTCACGGAATTTTTACGAAAGCCACGGAGAAATAATGGAAATATTCGGATAATAAGGCTATATACAATATCGAGGTTAGACTGTAGATAGACGGATATGTAGTTAAATGTTTCTATATATTATATATTTTTATTAAATATCTAATAAAGAAACGCGTATAGAAATTGTACACTTTGTATTTGCCTCGACGGGTATGTCAAGTTGTTATTTTTAATCACAATCTTATATGTTTCTAACTGTCAGTCTTTTTTAGGCGGTAATCTGAGGATGAGATTTACTAATGGTGTTAATGTTGATGTCCATGACGTCAGCCAAAGATTTGATATTATAACTCCTTTGGTCAGAGATTTTATAGAAACCTGACAAAACATCAATAGCCCAAATTTTGGAGAATACCTTGATTAATGCACCAGAATTTTTAAATTACAGGATAATAAAAGTTTCAATGATTTGGGGACAGACTGTAGGGGTGGATTTCGATCCATTTAGAGAATATCTATGGAAACGAATTATGGTCTGGATTAGTTTGAATAGTTAGGACAGTGTATAAGTTGGATAATAGATCAAACTCAATTAATCTACAGGAAAGAGTTGAAAAAATAAAGAATCTGCAAATCAATTCTGCATAAATATTACTATGTTCGCAGCATATGGATATAAAGTTCTAACTATATAGGACAAACTACCCTGTGTGCCCAAAACATGAATCGTCTTCCCAGCCTTCCCATGAATCGATCTGAGAAAAAAAAAATCATATTAATTATATATTGAATGTTGCGACCAACACGGCAACACCGTGTCAGGAGGCGTAGTCACGCGGCTAGCTACATTGCCGGCAATCATTGTAGTGCAGCATCGTGCGCAAGTCGTAGTCCCACGATTGTAGCGGAAACGTAGTCCATCACCGTGCAGGAGGCGCTATAAGGGCGGAGCGCATGCTTACCTTAATAAATAAATAGGTAATAGTTTACCATTCAACTATCCCTATAATAAACAGAAATAGAAATGTTAGAAAACGTTTCTTAAAAACAAATTCAAAAAAAAATTAACACCACACTTTACCTCGTCAAGATAAAGTCCAGTTCGTCTAAGTCCGGCGTCCTACACGTATCTAAAAAAATGAAATAAAAAAAATTCGGTTTAAAAAACCGAAAAGAATGAAAAAAGGTTTCGGTTTAAAATAAAAAAATTTCAGTTTAAAAACCGTAAAAAAATTTGCAATCAGATCGCAGGTTATACTTATTTTCACCGATGTAAAATAATTCGGGAATAGTGATATCGGTCGAACCGGTCGAACCCATCCAATAATAAATAGTTATCGTTCAGTCCAATAGGATCATGCAGATTTTCATAAAACGATATTTTTATTAGCCATAGCAATAACACATGATTGATATAATAAAGTGGAGTAAAAAAATGGTGTAAATGAATATTTTGTAGGAAAAGTTTAAATAAAGCTTATAAAATGGATTAAAAATAGCATAAAAATGAAGCTTATTTATGATATTAATTAATGCATGATCGAAACGTCAGAACGATAACATGACTTAAAATTTTAGTATTAATTCAACATATTCCTTCTATGTAAATAATTATGCCGGCCAAAGCTAATTGCGAATAAATTTTTATTCTTTTGATTGTCAATTCACTTTACATTACTGATACACTATTTTGTACAATAATTTGAGATTTTAACTTGATAACATCAAATTTACAAAAATTTTATTTATTTGTGATGTGTAATAGTAAGCTTATATATGCTTCTCTTAGAATTGTCATAATATATCGTGATACTCTAATACTTTAAATTCTAAGATGTTTTAAATATTGAATTTTTGCTAATTTTTATAACGTCATTTTATTACTAATCAATAAAAAAAGCAAAAAGCTTGATTCTGAAGAATTCCGAGTATTAATCGATTAATTGTGAAATTGATAGAAATTGCTCTATATTTAAAAGATCTGGGAGAATTTTTACAGAAAATATAATACAAAAAAACATTCACTTGTATTTATTATTATGTGATGTTACCTATCTGATTCATTCACTTTACACGTTAAAGATATCATCATGATAATGGAATGACGTTACAAAAAAAAGGAAAATGAATTTATACAACTTCATGTTTAGGTGACACAATTCTTCGGGTTAAATTCTTTAATTATCACAAATATAATTTCAAACAACTAACAGCTGATATTAATTTCAAAAATCAATATTCTTTAATCGACGAAAATGGATCATCTGGTTGAGTATTGGACATCATGGCTATAAATATTGTATGTTATATTATTACACGTCGAAATTATCGAATTATTCTTTTTTATTAATTAAAATAATTAAAATAATTATAAAATTCTTTATTTTTTTGAAAGACAAATCCGAAGTTTTGAATTAAACGGACTGTTTATACAATTTTCACAATTATATCCCATTACTCTATATAATATTTCTGTGATTGATATACTATAATTACTCCTCTATTGTCGCTTTAAATAGTATAGAAGTGCAAAATTTGATCATTTCTCTTATAGAAATCTCTAATTATATTAACTGGTAAATTTAACCAACCTCGATAACACTGTCTAAAAAGAAAATGACCACGTAATTTTTAATTTTTCGTCATTATCCATATATTTTGAAAAGGATTTCCATTATAAATAATTTTGGTAATTAGGAAATTAATCCAAATTATATATTCATTTGATTATCGCTATTTATTCAAATTAAAATAAAATTAATAAATGCAAAAATATTAAAGGTTATCTTCAGTATAATAAATTCACTTTTAATTAACAAAAATTAATAGAAAATATCATGTATTATTACCTGTATATTATTCCTGGTTAAAAAATTACTCTGAAAATTGATTGCCTAATTATGAGTTGCGTCGAAGTTCTAATGTTTTTGAGTGATTTTCGTAGTGTTCAATAAGAAACCCTTTCATTATCGACAATTGAAGATGTGTATTAAGAAATCATATTTTATAAGTTAAAACAGAACTTTACATTGTTCACAATGTAAATATACTATAGCTTGCATGATTTATCTAAAATATTGATTGATAATTATATTTTAAATTGTAATCTTCAAAAAATTATGATCCAGCAGGAATTTAAGGTCTATTCCTCATCATACAATGTAGTAGTACGATGGTCCTTTCCTAAGTTTTAGAATTTTCTTCAGGTCGGTTTGATATTGCAGAAGAATGATCTTTACAATACAATATAACATAAAAGAATTGGGAGGCGTTAGTATTGAATTTTAAATTTCAACTGAAAATTTGAGATAAAATTTTAATCACCATTTCGGCACTTTTGACAAAAACGTGGATATTACCTTCTCTTTCCATTAGAAGTTTATTCTCTATTTGAGCTAAAGTGATAAACCGTTAAACCAAACACCTTTTGTTATACAGTCGAAAAAGAAAGGACGTGAACTTGATAGTTCTTAAAAGAATACCAGCCATAAGTATTAGATCTCGTGACTTTTGATCGTAAAGAAAATGCAACATAATCTATATTTTCGGATGTAATTTCTGCCACTTGTTTGAGTAATCATGAGTCCGTTATAATTATTATATCATAAAAATATTATATAAGGTCATGATAGGAATAGCTGCAATGATGATTATGGTGAAATGTGGATAATAGATAGTGCATCACTGTAAAGCGCAAGATGCTAAATATAGTTTTCTCCCTACTTCAAAATATGATACTACGCGCATTCTTTATAATAAAATAAATAAAATAATAAAATTCAATATCATTCAATATTAATCACGGCGTTAAATAACCAAGAACTAAAATCAAAATTTTTTTATTTACCAATAAATTGAAGGTATACATTTTTGAGATAGAGATTCCAAAGCGACGGATAATTCTTTCTTATACGTCGCCAAAAGAAAGTACAAATTCAAAGACTAATGAAGACTAATGAAGCTGGAACAAAATTAAATATAAATGATATATAAATATTCAATTGTTAGTTGCTACAAATAACTTACTGAATACTTTTTGTATAAATATTTAATATACAATTGCTGTAAATTCTCGCGCCGTTTCTAAAAAAGTTTTATTTTTTAAAACTGAAGCAGCACAGACAATACATGGCGCACTAACACACCACCTTCAACTGCAAATTCAGTTGCTACGTCCTTCATCCTATTCTGTTCTATTAAATTAAATAAAAATATTTAACGTGAAAATTATGAACGTAAAATAAATACAAAACTTGAAATTTTCTTACTAGCCTGATGCCCGACCACGTTTAAGATGCTTGAACATTGGGTTCAACGTTAGTAACTATAATGAGAAACTTATTTGATACGATAATTTTCCTATTTCTTCATCTAAAGCTCTTTGTATGGTTTCACTAGTTAGTTCCGAAACACAAAATGCATTCATTATCAGGATTAGTTACAAATCCCAGGTAGAATTAGTCCAACAATCACATAAAAAAAAAATTTTAATAAGTCAATAATTTTTCAAAAATAAAAATGATTCACTTCTTTGATAACCTGCCGTTTACCTTTAGATTAGAATTAACTTTAGCCATTCCCTGAGCAACAATAAACATAAAAGAGGAATACAAAGCCTTTAAAAGCGGAGTAGATATATGATATTCGAACATAATTTTTTCTAATAATCTTCTGTCGAATATTTAATCAAAAATGATGAATCACCCATTGATTTGATAGTAGCATTTCCATTGACGTAAATCAGTTTTTCGTCTAAATACAGAAATCGTAAATACAGAAATAAAGATTTAAAATAATAGTCACATTAGTTAGACACGATCGCAACTTTTGACTTAATTACCAATAGACTCCGAGAGGTTAATAAATAAATCTGTGAACTTCACATGCTTCTGATAAACCTACGTACCAAGCGAATCACAAATTCTACAAGTAACATATAATGATTTTAAATATTGTCGAATAATTGTTGTCATATAATAGTTTTTCGCTCACCATTTTTGATTTTAAAAGTCTCCTCTTACGTGGATACGTTTAAATTTATTAGATTGTTTTAAATAACTTGTACGCACTATTGAATACTCTTTAGTATGATTTAATAATCTAAATTTTAAATTGAAATGAAGAAAAAATATTAATTAGAATATCATTTTATTATTTTTAACGAAATAAATCAAATTTCAATATACCCAATAAAGTTATATAAGCATTACGTAGTTTAGTTTCGTAAATTTGTCTTAATAACGGAAAATATACCGAAACATTAGGTAATCTCCTCCAGCATTATATGCCGAAATCATTATCGTTTCTTTGTTATTCAAATTTATTATAATCTACCGGCCAACTCGGTTAAATATCTTTTACATAACTTGACACCAAATATGAACCTTATTAGTGATTTATTTGCTTTCTCAAGGGTTTTTGTCTTGTAATTTACATACTATACAAAGGAATGTAGTTACTTCAATTTTGATTTCGCGTTAGAGTTATAAAAAAATATTTGTCGATCACTTCATTAATTGCAGATTATGATTTTACCGCTTGTGTCAGTCGTGTGACTTAATTACTTAGCCGCATATATATATTCATGTCTCACATATCTCAATAAGGAGTGGAGTGAATGTAGGCGTAAATGTTTTGAACTGTACACAATAATTGCGGTACAAAATAAATGTCTGAAAAAAAAAAGTTCGTCCTTTAATTTTTAAAATGTCTTTCAAGACAGTAAATATTCAAATTGTAAATGGTTTGTCTCCACAATGTATTTCAAAAGAATTAAATCTAGAAGATATATTATCCGATATTCGTAATAGTGATGATGATATTAGTGATAAATTGTCATTTTTAACAAAATTAAGTAATGGTGAGCACGCTAAAATAGAAAGTGAAGTTGAAAAATATTTTCGGTTAAAAGAAATTATAACAATCGACGATGATCAATATATTTTATATTTAAAAATAAACTCGGATTGGAAATTTTTTAATGATAATTGTAAATTAGAATATGGATGTACTATGAGTTTCGATGGAATTAAGAAAGCTAATAAAAGAGCATTTGTAATGAAAGATTGTGAATTAACTAAAATTAGTGTTGAAGGATATAAAAAAGCTCAACTTAAATTTTGGAGTAAAGATGACTGGATGATGAAAACAAATTTATTTTTCAGTGGCTCAGATAATGTAAAGAATTTTGTTTATATGGGATTATCACTTGAAAGTGAGTCAAAGAAAAATGAAGATTTTGATGACAAAGTTTATTCAGTATATGAATATACAGAAGTTGGAAAAGCACTTATAAAATTTCGGGAATATATAGAACCAACAGAAGAATTTATTAAAGAAATAAAAGATGGCATAAAATCCGGTAATCCAAAAAAAGAATTTAGGAAAATTATGAAAGAATATGGACAATTCATTCCAACTGAAATCATTTTGGGAGGAAGAGTTTATTTCAAAGGTGTAAACCCTGGAGCAATAATTTCTGTTCGTGAGTCTAAAAAAATTATGAGAACAATTGGAGGAAAACATCTTGGTGGTAAAACCTTTAATGAAAAATATTGGATGGAATCTTTAAATGATTATCAAAATTGGGATATTATAGAATTAAAAAATCCTATTATCATATTTAAACTTTTACCCGAAGATATGTATAAAAAAATAATTTCTTCTCTCGGAAAAAGAATTCTACATAAACGTCAGAGGGACTATTCATGGAATCCTGGAATGACCAACATCTATGATTTTATTGATGAATTGTTGTTAAAAATCGTTCATAAAAAAGATGCTGATTGGGACATTTTTGCAACAGTCATTAATGTTCACGATTCAAAAGATGTTTTTTTTAACTGTCAAATTTTAAAATCAGGAAAGACAAAACCAAGTACTTTAATTCATTGTATTCAAAAAGATTTTCAACTACGCGAATATAGTTTGATGATTGTTTATGTGGTTATCGGTTATGATACAGATTTTAAATACATTTATTCAAATAAAAATAAGGTTGAATTAAGGAAGTTTGTTTATGACACGGAAAATTGCGAGTTTGATAGTATACCATTACAGCGTGAACTTGTTTCAATGATAAGAGATGGTAATCCTTTCATTGGAATTCCTATATTAAATAGTTTAAATCCTTCAAATGAATCTCTTGTAATTGGACATAACTTTCGCAAGACATCGAATAATGAATTTAAAATAGACTTATTTTCTTATTGCACAAAAACACATCGTTACGTTAATTTACCTAAATTTACTTTTTATACTCTTGTTATTTTAAATAATGATGTAAATAATCCTCCTTTTGAATTTATAAAGTGGGGAAACCCATTTATTAATTATAAATACTCTTGGAATATCCCATGCGCCAGTCTATATTTGATAAATGGTGATAATTATAGTCCAATTTTTTTAAATCAAAGCCGTAAACAATTTAACATAGGATATGTTGATTGTAAATGTAATAAAACTTGTTTTATTTGTAACTACAAAACTAAAAGAATATCAAATACCGATCAAATTAGTTGTACAATAATAAATAATTGGTGGTGAAATGATTATGTAATTTAATTTATCAATAAAAAACAATTTTATGTAAACAAGAACATAAATCTTTTCATTCTACATTTCGAGAAAGTGACCCTTTCCAGAATTTCTGCTTATAAGAAGATTCTAGTTAGATATATACTATCAAGAATAAAATGAGATTATTGGACCACAAATTAACACCTTTATATGACATACCGCGTTTTAAATACCATCGTGCACAAATATAAATTTAAATACTTTAATGATAATATAAATGTTAACCAAAATAAATCAAATAAATACAACAACGAAAATACAAATCAAAATAAACGTAAATATAATAATAATGGTTAAATTTAATTAATGATATCTTTTAATTCAAGCAAATTTTCCATTTCTTCCCTTAAAAAATATTTATCCTTTAAAGCTTCTGGTATAGTTTGATGATATGATAACAAATGGTCAATTTCAGGGTAACAAATTCGTTCACTATTATAATCATGAAATTGCATAAATCGAACATAATCTATTTCCTATAAATCGATAAATAATATTATTATTAATTTACAATATAAATTAACCAACGGAAATTAAGTAAATATAAATATACCATATCAATAGAATTTGTTTCGATTGAGAGTTGTATCCATCCTGGGTTATTAATGTATAAATAATAAAATGACGTGTACTCAATCCAACCTAATCCCTTAAGTTTTAATAAATCTTCATACTTTAAGATATATTCCAGTGAATTATCTTCATTTGAATTCTATAATTAAAATATAATATTTAGTTATTATAATTAATATAATAATAGAATTTTAATAGTTAACAAACTTACTTCTTCTTTTTCTTCTTGTTTAAACGTAAATTTTACATAACAATCATCTGATATTATTTCTTTAACATTAATTTTCCAAATAATCCCATAATGTATTTTTAATAGAAGAATATCATAAAATTTTGGTAAGGTAAAATCTAACAAATTTAAGTTTTTATCCAAATTCATAAGGTTTGAAATAAAATAAACCTTTTTTACTACATTAAATTAAGACGTTAACTATTATTTAATTAGTTTAAAGAAATAATAATATATAATGAGTGCACAAACCTTCAAACATATAAATATTAAATTTATCAACAATTCCAAATTTTATAAGTTTATCATCGTTAATTTTACAAACTTCACACAAGTATAACCAAAAATCAGAATATTTTCGTAATAAATAAACAAATGAAAAATTTTCATTATCTAATTCAAACAATCTATTCAATTCTAATTTCGCATCAACGTATCTTCTTAATTCAATATTTATTTTACATCTAATAAAAAGTAGTGATTTATCATCATTAATCTCATTGATTTCTGTAATAATATTATTATTTATATCTATAAAATTATTTTTGTCAGTAATATTTTTTAAGTGATAAAAATGCATTTTAGCTAAACTATTATTAGAATCCAATTCTGTACATTTCTTGAAAGCTACTATGGCATTATTAATATCTTCAGTCACATAGTATACTATTCCTTTATAATAATAAGCTTTACTATTAAAAGAATTTAATTGTATAACTCTATTAAGATCCAATAAAGCTTCATCATATTTTTTCAGAATACAATAGGTGATAGCCTTTTTAATCAAGATATGAATATTCTCGGGATCAATTTCATTTGCTTTTGTAAAATATTTTATTGATTCATTATATCTTCTTAATTTATTAAGAATTTCTCCATAATAACATAAAATTAATGAATCTTTCTTATTAATACTTAACAATCTATCCAACATTTCCAGTGTATTTAAATAATTTTCTTGCTTTTCATAAACATAAGCACAATTTTTAAGACATAAATAATTATTTGGATAATTTCGTAATGCAACCCCGAAATTTTCTATGGCTTTATTACGATAATTTTCTGATTCTTTATAATTGTTTTCTGATTCAAAGAGATAACTGTTTCCAAGTATTATATATTGTTTATTAATATTAGACTCCCGATATCTTAAATAATCTATTACTCTTCCATACATATTTTCTCTGAAATACATTTCTCCATGAATATACCAAGCAATTGAATTTTTTCCGTTTAATTTAATGGCTTCATCTAAATAAAAATGTGCTTGCTCATAATTACCAAGACATCTATAAATATAGGCTAAAACGCATCTTAAAGAATAACTTTTAGGAAAGAAGTTTAAAAAATCTTTACACAAACTTTCAGCTTTTTCATAATTCTTTTCACCTATTTCTTTTATAATATTTTGATATGTTGGATGTTGTTTTTTCGAAAATCTTGGAAACAGTGATGATAATGATACACGTGAATTTAATTTAATTGCGTTAAAAAAAATCTTTTTTTTAGTTAACATTTGATCAGCTTCCGAATTATCTGAATCATCACTATCATTTTGATTATTTATTACTTGATCCGAATCTTCTGACTGTAAATTAGCTTCAACAAATTTTTGGTGCAAATTATTATAAATAGTAGTCTGTGGTAAATATTTCACGTCAACATTCTTAATTTCTTCTCGACATATAGGGCATTCTTTTAATCTTTTTAAATCATTTAACGAAATTTCATGCTGACATTTTAAAATACATAATTGGTCTGTTGGCTCCAAACTAATAGGATCAGCCATTTCATCAGCAATTTCTTTTAATATCGGCGTTTGCTCTCTTTGCAAACATTTCCCTTTCCCTTTCCTTTTTCCTTTTTCATTATCATTAATTGGCAGTTTGAAGTCTATATTTAATTGTGCAAAATCTTCAAAACACTTTTCTCTAACAAATTCTAATAAAATTTGAAACTTTTCCGAAGAATCTGTTGATTTAGTTTCTCTTAGCTTTTGTGTATATTGATCAAAATCGATTTTTATCATTGAGAATAATTCATTATTAATATTATATAGATGTAATAATATCTCAATTGCTTTAAATTGAATGAAGCTACTTGGAGCTTTATTGAGTGATTCAATTGCCAAATAATAACAAAGACCATACGTGGATTTTCGAGTAGATTTTTGGATATAACTTTGTGCGAGATCTAATATTCCAAACCATAAAGTATGTGGTAATGCAAGAGGTTCATTTCCAACAAGATCATTTAAAAAACTTCCGGCATTCATTAAAACTTCTACAAGTTCATTTGATATTTCATCAAATTTGGATTGAGAATTTAAAATAGACTTATCCACAACGTTGGCCCATTCTATTTCCAAATTTCCCCAGAAATATTCCATTAATGTCATCTCTTCAATTTTCTTATTAATTACAGAATCTTCAGATAAGGCAAAAAGATTATATCGAATTATCAGCATAATTCTCCAACCTACATAATAAGATGCTATTGGATATTTAAAACTTAAGCCTTGGCGTAAATGAGTAATTAACGATGGAATTGCTTTTGGAATTCCGGTTACTGAAGAAGGTATATTCAATGCAGCTTTAAGACATTCTTTAACTCTTCGTAACATTTCTCGAAACCAAGTTTCATCATCACGTAAACTGTGTAATGTATCTCGTAAGTGAATTAATAGGAAGTCAATGTTATAATTTCGTTTTTGAAAAATAACTTTATCATTTTCTTGTGATTGATTAAATTGATTTGATCTAAAAACATTTTCAAGTCCTTCACTAATAACTTGTGTAGTTTTACGGTGAAATTCTGCAAATTTTGTCAGAGAATTGTAAACTTTATCTCGAAGTTCTTTACTAAGTACTATCGATGAAAAACATATCCGTTCTAAAACCGCCACCAAAGTTCTTAAATGTAATTCTAATCTAATTACGATTTCCATTGAATGATGATCAAATGGAGTATGATCAGCCAAAGCTTTTAATAAATTTGTTAAAACGGTGGATGAAAATTTATTTGTAAGGTCTTCGATAAGTAATCTAAGAGCATATAAATATTCTGGTTTAGTTAGATTTTTTTCAAGCTCTTCTGCTTTATTATTGGGTGTAATAAATCCATCTGCTTCTAATTTTTGTAGGATAAAGTTGGTGAATACATTTTTGTGCGGAGTAGTCTTAGACATAATCGAATTATTACTAGGTGCGGTACTAGGTTTCTTACTAGAAGAACCTCCGCTCTATAAATTGTGTATACAAAATATATAAGCATATTGTAAAAATTTTATATAAACTCGAAATATCACTCAAAATTATGATGGAAATTTTATTTACCTGGTCTGATATTTCTTCCATATTTTTATTACTGGAAATACCTAAAAATATTTAAAATACTACGGGATATTAAAAAACAAATGCATGTAATATAAATTGGCGTAAATGTTTTGTACATTGTGTCATTATAATTTTGTAACATTATCTTGCCTAAAAAATAGCAATGTAATGAATGGGGATCGACAATTATGCTCGTTGCACCAAAAAGTCCTGGCTATACTTGCCGCCCATATTAAATGGGATGGGAGAATCCCCTATCCCATCCCATCCCATATCCCATCCCATTTGCCAAAATCCCATCCCAATCCCAAATCCCAATCCCACCCAAATCCCAAATCCCATATCCCATCCCATATCCCAAATAATCTCATTGGTCACTCATCACGTGACGTTACACAAATTCCAAAAAAAGGAAATTTTGCTTTCCGCAAAAAATGGAAATTTTGGTTTCACAAGTATTCCAAAAAAGGAAAATTTTTACGCCGATCATATAATTCTGGCCAGCATTGCATCCATTACCAGAATATGAGCAAAATTAAGATCCCGAACAGATTTACGAAGTTTATATTTTAACTCCAGCCGGAATTACAAATTATAAAGGTTTAAATCCTTATCCTACAAACCCAATTTTTAAGAGATTTACCGATCAGATTTTAATGAAATTTATATCTTTGGATTCGTCTTGATTTAAGGAATTAAATGGTAGTGAAATCATATTTCTAAAATTAATATTGACTGATTTATTATAAAAAATGTATTTTTATACTATATATTATTTAAAAGTAACATGTTAGCAGTTAGTATTCAGTAATATATTGATTATTTTATTTGAATTAATAATTTTGATGATATCTGATATCGTTTTTTTAGATTAACAGTTAATTAATTCCTGGTTTGTAAATATTATTTTATTAAATATTTATGCATAATAATAATATCCATCAAATTATATATTAGAAATAAATAATCAAACTTTTTTTGATAAATTAATAGATAGGTTTAAGTTAATTCAAAGTTAAATTGTAATAAAAAATATAAAATAATAAATTGAATAAATATATTTTAAAAACTTTTTATATTAAAAGTAACCAATTATTGCTTGCTTTATAGTTTATACATGTTATTTAATAATATATATTATAAAATACATTTTTTATAATGGGAAAATGTATATCTAGCATGGGTGCGATGTAATTAAATTTAGCATGTAATATTAAATAAGATCTGATTGGCCACAAACACATGATCTTAAAATTTTATTTTTTTATGCAAAGTGAAGTTTAAGTTGCATCGCATTTCCTGATGTAAATGAAAATATCCTAATTCAATAAAAAACCCCTTTAAAATGTGAGATTTAAAATGCATTGCATTTCCTAACAAAAATGAAAATATGACGTAAACAAACCCTTTACATGCAAAATCACATCATTATAAAAAACAAATCAACTTTTACCTTTGCTAATAAGTCTGTTTATGATTTTTTAACTCGCCCTTATCATTATTATTTCTTGATTACTACTTCATTTTATTTTTATTTTCCCCTAATAAACTTAATAAACATATCATTTACAGAGTTTCTATCACTAGCTTCATAGATATAATGGATGTATATCCAGTCGATATAATAAACGTATATCCAGTTGATATAACGAACGTATATCCAGTTGATATAATGAATGTATATCCAGTTGAAACTAATCCTATTAATGTTAATGAAGTTGTAAATGACCTACAAAATATGAAAGATGTAGAATATATTAGTGCAGATAAAGAAAATAATAATGAAGAGTTAATAAGTACATATACCTGTTTATTACTATTGTATATATAGTTTACATACAAACTAACAGCTAGTATATTTACTGCAGTTGCTTCTGAAGACGTTCCTGAAGATATTAAGTTTGATATGTAGGAAGAAGTTGATAGTTATTTTGATGAATATGGCGTTAGAAATGGATTTGCAATTATTAAATACAGGATGGAATGAAATAGTAAAGGTTAGGTTCACAAAAGAACCTTGATATGTGAATTTAGTGGAAAATACAAGTCTAAAAAAAAAGATGAAGCAAAATTAAAAGGAACACAATGAAATACCAAGACAAAAAAATTAGATTGTCCATGGCATATAAACTTGACTTTCCCTGAAAATGCAACACAAATAAGTGTTACAACATTTATCAATCAACATAATCATTCGCTTATTCCTAAAACACAAGAGTTTGCAACAAAATACTGATCATTTAGTAAGGAAGTGATTAATGAAATTTCATTAATGATAAAACATGGAAATTTAATGCTTACTGCATAAAGGAATCTCTTAAAAGCCTGATTTCCAGATATTCACTTTCAAGATCAAGACCTAGCTAATGTAATTCAAAAATATAAAAATATGGATAAGATTAACAATGATGCATCTGCATTACTCACTATGTTAATGCAAAAAAAGCTGAAGACTTACGCTAGGCTGTTGATTTTGAATTAGACAATAATAATCGTTTAACTCGCCTTCTCTGGATATCACCAGATCAAGTTGAACTGTGGCTTAAGTACCACGATGTTGTCATCAATGATAATACAATATGAACTAATCAATATCAGCTTCCCTTGGATGTCTTTATAGTAATTGATAACAAAAATAAAACACGTCTTGTTTGTCAAGTATTAGCAAGTGATGAAACACTTGATATGCATGTTTGGATACTCAAATGCATCCCTATAAAAAATATGCACACTGTTTATATACTGTATATTCGCATCTTTGATACTGTTCGCAATTTTATATACTGCACATCAGTATTATGTATACTGTTCGCAAAATGCCAATAATAAAAAATGTAACAAAGTGTACGGTGAATAGACTGTATGATACGGTATTTTAATTTCATACATTTGTAACGTATATTGTATAAACATATTTCTACTGTATATCAGTATTTTGTATACTGTTCGCAAA